CCTTCTCCTTGTCTTCCTTTTCTTCGTCTTCTTTTCTTCTTCCTCTTCCTTTCCCTTCTCTTCCCCCTCCTTCTCCTTCTCCTCTTCCTTTTTTTCCTCTTTTTTTGGTCAGACTTGGTTAATTAAAACACAAGTTCAGAAATTCTTTTGTTTATTCTACTTTGTTTTGGAAGTTTTCAGTTGTATTTTTATAACATTCGTTGAAATTTTTGTTCTAGGTTTTTGATTTATTAATGATTTCTCTCTGATGTTTTCACTTGCATTCTGAATTGTTTTTCTCATTTTTTTTAATATCATTTATCCATATTCTGCATCTCATTGATTTCCTTTAGAATTATTATTTTAAATTTGTTTTAAGCATTTTTCTAGATTTCCTTAAAATTGAGATCTATTTCTGGGGAATTATTGCTTTCCTTTGCATATCTCATTTTCTTTTCCAATTTTATTATGTCCTTTTTCGATGTTTTTGCATCTAGCATAATGTTCCCCTCTTCCAGTTTTATGAAGTGTCTTTTATAAGAAAATGTTTTTTGGGCCAGGGATTTAGCTCAGCAGTATAAGCATCTGCCTGGCAAGTGAGAATTCATGATTTTGATACTTGGGACCAAAAAAAAATTTTTTTTTCGTTTAGATAGGATATAGGTTGTCAACTGACTTTGGCCATATCCAGCTCAAAATCATAGCTTCTGTGTAATTTCATGTTTGATTTATGTCAACAGTGGTCAGGAGTCCCTTGTTAGTCTAGAACACAGCCCTTATGGAGGCAGTTGTGAGACTTCACAGTGGCTGAGTTTTTGGAAAGGCAGTGCTTCAGGCTCCACAGGGTTGACCCTTTATGGCACTGGGGCTTGAAACTCCCACAGTCTGAGTGGTGTAGAGTGCGCACAGGATAGTTCCCAGGCCTCTCAGGACATGTACAAGGAACACTAAGCATTGTGGCACCAGCAGACATGATCCACAGAATCTCAGGGGGACCTTCCTCAGGCCTCAGTGGAAATGTGAGAGACTCCTGGGGTTGTGGCAGCAGCTGTAGTTCTGGAGACACAGGATGAGATGGGACCCTTTCTGGATCCAATGGGATGAGCACAGATGATGCTTGGGTTGATGCTGTAACCATGGTCTTGACATTTTGAAACACAAAAGGAACCTTCCTAAGTCCTTTGGGGCAAATAATATTGATGAAGGGGATGATGGTACTGTTAGCTACTTTTCTGAAACTGTGAGACCCAAATGACACCCTTCACAGGTTCCAAAGGACAGCATACAAGTGATGCCAAGACTTTTGGCACCAGCAGCTGACCGTGTCCCTAAGTCTTCTGGATTATGTGCAGGTGATGTTTTGGTTTGGTGCTGGTACCTGTACTCTGGAGGTGTAGCACACATGGGAGTCCATTTGTAGGTGCTCTGAGTTGAGCAGGTACTAGGGCTTGAGGTTTTAGAATCTGTGGTCCTGGAGCTGAAGCACGTGGTGGGAGGTGCCCTAGATTATATGATCGATCTCTCTTGTAGAGAAGGCTTATTGTGCTGATAGCTTCAGTTCTGGAGCTGCAGAACAGGGGTGTGACTGTCCCCTCATCCTCTGGGATGAGGCTGGGGGATGCGAAGGATTTTACACCAGCAGCTGCAGTGCTGAGGCGGTAGGCTGGGGAGGGACCATCCTTGGTTCCCGCAGGTCCAGTATGGGTGGGACTCAGGCTTGTGGCTACGGCAGCTGGTGGTCTTGAAGCTCCAGAAAGTAAACGGGGGCTGTTTTATGCCCAGTGAAGCATGCAGTAGCTCAAACTTCTGATAGTGTCAGGGAGCTGGCTGCTGGCCCTTAAGGTAATATGGCACCTACCAGCTTTCGTTCTGGGGGTTGGAGAAGACCCAAAGTAGGTTTCTTCTTTGGAGCAGAGCAGGGGTGCTGCTCTCAGACCAGCCAGCTCCCCACACTGGAGCTGAGACTGGTATGCCTTTCCAGTTAGGACCGCTGTCCTGCTGTCCTGCTGCTGTGATCAGGATTGCTGGCACTTGCTATTTACCTTTTCCTTGCAGTGCTATGTTCTTTGCCCCAGGTCAGGAGCAGAAGTTAAAATTGCAAACTGCTTTCTCTTTTCTCTAGGTTTCTCAGGTTGTCCTTCTGGCTCTCTACCCTGTTTAGGTTCCTATTACTTCTATGTTAATTTCTAGCATCCTCCCTCACTTTCCTTGAAAGTCAGTTTTCTTTTCCATGTTAGCACTTTTGCTTTTGTGGTGCTGAGAACTCGGCCTCACACATGGTAGGCAGTTGCTCTACCGCTGGGCTGTGTCCTCAGTCCTTAGCAGTTTTTAATGAGGATTGTATGTGAGTATATTGTTTCTACATCTTCTCAATTGTTTCTTCTTATGTTTGCCCTTTTCCTTTCCTGGTTGACCAAATTTGCTTGTCTGTTTAGGGATCTTCTCGTAGCCTTTGTCCAGTTTTAGTTCAGTGATAGCCACCTTGCAGGGGTGATATTTGTGTCTTTGTCTTCTTCCCCCTGTACCTGCTAGATGCATATTTCTTTTTGTGAATCTAGACACCTTTGCTAATATGCCCACCTTAATACTTCACCCTTTCCAGTTGGCATGATGGAGCATTGTAGTTTTGTCTTGGCTGTCGAGGAGGAGAGGAAGAAATTCTTGCAAATGTGGGAGGGGAAACTGAAAAGTTTTTCATGGTTTTTGTTTTGGTCAGAAGTCACAAGGGGATCAAGCTTTGTGTTGGTAACTGCTGCTTCAACAATGGCTGAACAATGGAAGAAATCTGCTTACCTACCATTTCTTTTTCTTTTCTTTTGAGACTGTCTTGATCTTTAGTTTACGTTAAACTCACAGCGTTCCTCCTGCATCAGCCTTGCAAGTGCTAGGATTTACAGGCATGCGCCACAAGCCCAGTTTACCTACCATTGTTTAAGCCAGACTACTGACCCTCATTTGCCTCTTTCTATATGCTGTGTCTCTTTCACTCAGGTGCGTCCACATACGGAGACATTCGTTAATGCAATAGGCAAAAGGGGGAAAAAGAGATAACATGTTTTCTGTATTTATTTGCTCTAAAAATATTTATTGGGTCCTTCCTGTACACCAGGTGCTGATGCGGTCCTGAGATATGCAGTGTCCATGAATGGTCTCTACCTCTATGAAGCTTATATCTAGTCAATGAGCAAGTAAAGGAATGAGTTAAAAAAATACTGGTGTGGAAATATGCTTTCTAGATAAGTGTGCTTAGGCTGTGATAGTGTGACAGGGCTGTCACTGTATGCAGAGTGTGTGAGGGGAGAAGTGACAAATACATCCAGGAGATGCGGCAGCTGGGGACAAAATGCATAGGCCACAATTGGGCTTGTGCCTTGTGTGCTTAAGGCACAAGAAGAAGCTGGCAGGTAAGGCCTGGGGAAGGAGATAGGACTAGGTCATGGAGCCCTTGCAGCCTGGGTGAATGACCGAGACAGGATGTAGCCACTGACAGCTTTTAAACAAGAGAACAGCATGAAGATGGCCCTCTGACCCAGGTCCCAAGAGTTCCTAATGGTGACTTTGCTCTGTGAATCTCATGACAAATGTGGGAAATCTGGAGTGCCCATACAGCACTTAATTCTGCTGGTTGTATGCAATTAGCATGTGTGTCTGGTTTTAAAATTTATCTTTCCTTTTTTATTGTGATTAAAACATACACAAAGCCTAAAATTTGGGATTTTAAAGCATATGGTGCAGTAGTATTAAGTGCATTCATGCTGTTGGGCAGCTGTCACTACTATGCATTTGTAGCACTGTTTTTCCCCCTCAAACCAGAACTCTGTAGCCGTTAATGATTTCCCATTTCTTCACCCCTCAACTCCTGATAACCTCTCGTCTTTCTGTCACTATGATTTTGCCTATTCTAGATATTTCATGTATATGGAATCATACAATATTTGTCCTTTTATGCGTGGCTTATGTCACTTGATATATTGTCATTAAAGCTCAACTGGGTTGTAGCATGTGTCAAAATCTCATTCCTTTCTGTGGGTGTGTCACATTTTGGTGTCATTCATGTGTTGGTCATGTGTCCACCCTAGGCAGGTTAGTACATTAGAAAGCCTTTCCAGAGACTTCCTCTGGCTAGTGGACACATTCCCAAGTCTGGAGAATCTGAGTGCGTCTGGCCTAGTGTCCTGTCCCTGTGTGTGGTTTGGGATGGGCCCCGAGTTTCACGAGGTAATTGGCCATGAGCCGCCCTAAAACCCAGTATAAACCCTGATGCTTTCCATGCTGACTCCATTCTCCTTTGGTTCCTTCCCCTGACGGTATAGATATACCAATGAATGAGACTCCGCAGAGCTTATTTCTTCATTTGCTCCCAAGCACAGAATCATTTTCTGCAAATAGAAATGTAGCCTGCTTTTGAAATGCTGCTGAATTTCTCCTGGCTGAGATGGGCAGGGGGAAGCCCAACATCTCTGCTGGGCGACCCCGGAAGGCCATGCCAGACTGGCCTGAGAGCTTCTCTGTGCATGAAGTGCCACCAAAACCCTTCTTAAAGGTCACACAGTTCTCCTGCTGTTAGGCTGAGACATTCCTGTGTAATTGAAATCTAATTTCCTTTTAGCTACTTGTGCTTGAAGCCTCCCCTAACCCCACAATGTCCCTGTGCTTCCTGGGCTCTAGCTGTGGTATCAGTCACCCCTCAGCCCTCCTGTGGCTCAGAGCAGCTGGATTGCTTATCCCCTGTGGATTGGTTTTCTTTCCTTTTTTCCTTGGAAGCAGCACCTTGTTTGACAGAGAATCTCCTTCCCTCTGGCATCCAGGTTGGCCCCTCAGAGCTGATTTGCTGTGGCCTCGGGAGAGTTTGGTTGATGCCTTTTAGGACAACCTGTCTCCTTTTTCACCAAGAAATCAACAAACTGGCTGTCACCTGTTCCCCTCTCAGCTACCAGCTGTGTAAGAGGAGAAAGTCTTACTGTATCCATCCCCCCAGCCCCCAAGACACTGGGCTACTCATGGCCATTTTTGTTTTTCAGAACAATAAACCTGAAAAACCCCATGCTCCAGCAGGTGCTAGAGAGAAGGAATGAGGTCCTGTGTGTCCTGACGCAGAAGATCGTGACAACGCAGAAGTGTGTGATATCTGAGCATGTTCAGATTGAGGAGAAGTGTGGTGGCGTGGTAGGGATCCACACCAAGATAGTGCAGGTGTGTATGGCCGGGGCACGCAAGCCAAGACCACAGCACCAGTGCTGTCCAGGCTGCGGGGACTTCCGTCTGGGGTCTTTTCGGATGGTGCCTTCATTAGCCAGAAGTCTTTCTTTACTGTAACGCATTAGCAGAAATACAAGTCAAATTGGCTTGTGCAATGGCGACATTTGGGGCAATGTGGCTTCAGTCACTGCTGGGCCCAGGTCTCAAGGATGTGGACTGCCTTCCTTACCGAGCTTGGTCCTTCAGACAGTCTCTCACCTGGTGGTGCAGGCAGCTCCAGGTTGTCATTAGATTTGCTGCAGTCTCGGGGGCCTTGAAGGCGAATACCTGAATCAAATGGAATTTCTAGTTTTATTTTTTTAATGAGTCTCTTCACTGAGTTCCAAAATGGTTATACTGGTTACATGCTCACTAGTAATGTGGAAGGGTTCCTTTCCCTGCACAGTCTTGCTAGCATTTGTTAGCATTTGAATTCTTGATGAGAGCTATATTTTTTAGAGTAAGATAATATCTCAATGTTGTCTTATTTTTACATTTCTCTAATGGCCAGAAATGCTGAACATTTTTTCATGATTTACTGGCTGTTTTTCTTTTGAGAAGTGTCTATTCACTTCAAGATGCCCACTTTTTGATTATTTTGAGGGCTCTAATTTGTGAGTTCTCTATTGTAGATACCAGTCCTCTGTCTGAGAAATAGCTGGCAAAATTTTTTCCCTTCATGTAGGTTATCTTTCACTCTTATTAATAGTTTTCCTTGTTGTGCAGAATCTTTTTAATTTTGTATGATTCCATTTATTGATTGTTGGTGCTATTTCTTGTATAACTGAGGTTCTATTCAGAAGACCCTTTCAATTTCTGTATCTTTAAAGAATTTTACCTAATTTTATCTTTCAGCAGGTTTAGTGTTTCTGTTTTAACATTTAGATCTTTGATCCATTTTGATTTTAGTGTAGTGTCTGGTGAGAGCTATGGGTATAGATTCAATCTTCTGCATATGGAATGCCAGTTTTCCCAGTATCATTTGGTAAGGAGGCAATGTTTCTATCAGCGTAAATTTTTGGCCCTTTGGTCACAGATCAGGTAACTAAATGTGCGTGGAATTGTTTCAGCATTATCTGTTCTGATCCACTGATCCTTATGTCTTTTGTTTTGTTTTGCCAATATCATGATTCTTTTATCACTGTAACTTTGTAGTAGAACTTGAATTCTGGGATTGTGATGCCTCCTGCTTTTTGGTCTTATTGCCCAGGATCGCATTCCTTATTCTGAGTCTCTTCTATTTCCATAGAAATTTTAGGGTTGCTTTCTCCACTTCTATGAGGAAGGCTGCTGGTATTTTGGTCGGGATTGTGTTAAACCTAGGCGTGAGTTTTAGGATTATGCCATTGTAATGGTACTGATTCTGCATATCCAGGAACAGGGGATATCTTTCCATTTTCTGATGTCCTTTACAATCTCCTTTTTCAGAATGCTGTAGTTTTCATTATTAAGGTCCTTCATTTTCTTGGTTAGGTTAATTCCTAAGTATTTAATTTTCCTTGATGCTGTTATGAATGGTATTGTTTCCCTCATTTCTTTGCTGGAGAGTTAATTGTTGGCATATAGGAACACTATCGATTTTTGAGTGCTGAATTCTGCTACAATAATGAATTTGTTCACATCTGACTCCTGTGACTGTCTCTCCCCTAGGTGCTGTGGGAGAGTTAAACTGGGAATTTGCAAAGTTGTCTTTTAGTTGTTCAACACCTTCCTGAAAGGTGCCTGATTACGCACTCTGTGGCGGTGAGCGGGTGCCACCCTCACTGCTGCCCCTGTGTGGAAGGAGTCATCTTGGACCAAAACCTGTGCTGCTTTTGCAGTTTGCATCCCTAGTCTCCTCCTGGGCCTGGTTCTCAGGCTTGGTCTGTTTCTTCCTGAAGCTGCTGAGCCTGGGCACTTACTTTACATTTGTGGAGGCTCCCCCTTCTCCCCCCAGCTTCCAGCCCCTCCGTTCTTTTGTCTGCAGTGTGGCCCATATCACCAGTTTCTCTGTAACATTAATTTTCCTGTCAATTCCTTTCTGATTCCCACTGAGCTACTTTTTTTTCTCTTCAGTAAGTTATTTTCTGGGTGTCTGGATTCCAGAACTCAGGCTGATCTTGCTGCTAATCACTAGTCTGCCATTTTCCAAGAGATCATGCCTCATTTTCTTAGCAATTTCCTTCTTTAGGTACCTTTTGGCTTTTTCTAGATGACCTGGGAAGTTGGTGTAGATGTAGTCTGGAGCTGAGGACTGTTTGATGCCAGCACATGGCCTGGCTGGATAGCAGTAGGGACAGAGGTACCCAATGAGGGTACCTCTCACCCTGTAAGATTCCTACCCATGGGCACCACCCGTGGGAGTGAGGAAGCCCCTTGAGAGTCACGAGCCCTCCCAGTGTTTCTTGATCTAAACTGACACACTTTAATCAGTAGTGTTGTTAAAAATAGTTCCATATTCTCCAGTATATGGCCAACAAAAGATTTTCAGTGTTCTCTGAAAACTGCAGGAAGGGCTATCTGTGTTTTTGGTTGGAGAAAGGGTCTCACATTGTACTTCAAGCTGGCCTTGAATTCACTGTGTAGCATGAGCTGCCTTCAGACTTGTGATCCTCCTGTGTCAGCCTCCCCAGTGCTGGGTTACAGGTTTATGCCAAAATGGCCAATGGAAGGGCTTGTATTTACTGGGATTTGAAGAAGAAACTTGATGCCTGACTTCCCAGCATTCCCTGCGTGCCCTTCTAGGCCCAGCTTTTCCCTCCAGCCGCTCCTGGCTGCCGCAAGGTCTTCTTGGATTTACCAGCCCAGAGCCCCATCCACAGGGGTGATGACTCAGCTAGGTTCTCCCAATCAAGATTTAAGCTTCTCTGGGATTTTCATTAGGATTTCTAAGTTTTCCTAGATGAAGAAAATTGAGATGTGATCTTATTTGTAACCATGTATCACTTAACTATATTCTGAAATATGTATCATTGGATGGTTTTGCTGTTGTGCAGACATTGCTACGTGTGCTAGATGGTCTAGGTCATTCACTTGTCATGGCTTCTTTGTGCTGTGAAGAGACTCTGAGGCTGCTGTCAATGTGATGTGGCATGCTGCTCCATGGTACATTTTTAATAAGTAGGAGTATACCCTAAATAAAAAGTGTAGTATAATAAATGTATGGACCAGTAACAGTAATTGTCATCCTCAAGTTTCTGTGCTATGCATAATTGTATGGGCTGTGTTTTTATATGATGGTATCGAAGCAAGTTTGTTTATGCCAGTATCACCACAGCACACGAGTGATACATTGTGTAACCATGTTGAGATGGCTGTGAAGTCACTGGATGGTGGAAATTTTTGGCTCTATTACTTATGATGGCATTGGAACTTTTCCATTTATGTGGTCTGTTGTTGACTGAAACAGTTTTGTGGTGCATCACATCTTTATTTCACACTGACTACCTAACCTCCCTGTACCCCATGCTCTGGAATCTGACTTCCGTACCTCCAGATTGGCCACTGACTGTGGTAATACATCCCGATGCCAACAAGGATGAAAGCTCGTGCTAGCAGGCTTCTCTTTGCCCCTTAGTATGAGGTGGTGTCCTCGGGATCCTTATGTACAGGGCAGAGGCTGGACACAGTGGGGAGGCAGAAAGGGCCAGGGAAGGCGTGAGTGTCCAGGTGGGAGTGTGTGCTCTCATCCACAGGTGTCAGCGATGGAGGACGGGAATATCATGAAAGACACCAGTGTGGTGCTAGAGATCCCGGCAGCCACCACCATTGCCTATGGCATCATTGAGTTATACGTGAAACAGGACGGCCGGTTTGGTGAGTGTCACTTCCTTCAGATGCTGAGGGGACCCCCATATCATGTTTCTCCCAGGCACACACTGTACAGGATCCCCCTCTGCTTTTGGGTTATGGGAGAGGTAGCAGAAGGGCTTAGAGGAGTGTACCATGGCCAGGTCACAAGGTGGACAGGCTTGGCAGGGGGTGCTGAGAGATAACCAGGGTAGCACTCCCTCTGTTCCGCCAAGACAGAGAGATGTGAGCTCTGCACTGAGGCAGACTGGGTGCCAGTGTCAGCCCCTGACCTCCTGTGAGAGCTCAGGCAGGCTGCTGATCTTGCTGTTTTAGCTCCCCTTCTCTGAAAGAGGAAAGGTGATTCCTCAGGGCCTACTTCAAGGATTAGTACATGCATAATGGGGTTATAATTCCTGTGTCTTGCTGCTGATCCACAGTGGTACATGCACGTATGATTGGCTTTTTTTCACTCAGGGGCAAGTTTGTGAAATTTATTCAGATAGTTGTAGAAATGAGTAGTTTTTATTGTAGTGTATCATTCTCTTCATTAATAAAGTAATTAAGACTCCTTACAAATGTAACCATAAAAGTGCTTGTAACTATGTGTGCATCTAAATATACTGGTGTATGTATGTATGTATGTAGATAGTGACTTGAGTTTGAACCAGAGCCTTTGCACGGAGCTGCAGTCACAGCCTTATTTTTATTTTGAGACAGGTTTAAGTTCCTAGGTTGCCAAAGCTGTGCTCAAACTCAAGCCTCCTCAGCCTACCAGAGTACTGGTTTTCTAGGCATGTGCCACCATTCTCAGCTCTGATGATAAATCTTTAATACTATAAATCTCCCCTGTTGTTTTATATATGGTGGGTTCATTTGTCTGACTAGGTTTTCAGAGCAGGATAGGAAGTATTTCCAGTGTATGAAGCATTGCTTCCTACATTTCAGAAAATATACCCCAGAAAGTTTCACGTGAAAAATAGCCATTGCTTCTGTGTCTGTAAGGAATGGCTTGGTATTCAGTCAAGCATTGCAGGCATGTACAGGAAGTGTGGGTTATGGGGAAGGTGATGGGTCTTTTGCTGCATCCCAAGCTAGGTAATGAAGGTTCTAACACATGCCATGGCCGGGCCGACTTTGGACCTGGCTTTTCCTTTTCCTGTACACTGTAGTATTCTGCCTCCTCCATGAGAAGCACGGTGGCTTCGAGCAGGAGCCGAGATCTGACCTTGCCTCTCTGGACCATCTGGCCTATCGAGAGTTTGTTTTCATGGACGTGCCGGATGCCAGTCATGGAGTGTCTTCCCAGGACGGACTGTTCAGTGTTTTAAAACAAGGTAATGCCACCACACTGAGGTGTGGCCAGCTGGTGGCTAAGTGAACATTGAATCCCAAGACATGCTGTGCCCTTCAGGATCAGGGACTCCTCAGGGAGTCATGGAAAACATCTGAAAAGAAGGTGGCTCTGCTGAGTGCTGGTCCACTCAGTACGAGTTTCCTATCAGATATGATGGAACGCCAGGTCTTGGGTGACAAGTTTTGAGGTGGAAAATTGAGGAGAGAAGCAATCAAGGACCTGGGGTTTTCCTTCATTGTGACCACAGAAGCATGCTGACTACTAAGAACAGCAGGACAGCAAGGGAGAGCCTAGGTTTTGCATGTGTGTCATTATATTCCAGGCTTCAGTGCCAAGCCAAGCCATGCTTTGTCAGCCTCTTGGGGCTCCCTTTCCACCTGCATGAGCCACATGGTGCTGAAGAGAAGGTGGTGCAGGATTTGTGAGGTGCCTGTAGTAGTTCTGTCCACAGCATGTTGTCTTTTAAAATGTGCTTTGGTGCAATACGGGAATACAGTGTACATTAGGAGATGCAAGGAAAAGGAGAAATAAAATTTGGTAAGTGCTTTGGAAAAAGAGCTAGGAACAATTCAGTGTGCTTTGTGGTAGAAGGAAAGGAGAGAGGTTCCTCAGTGAGGCTTCAATGAGTCCTGAGTTCAAGGTGTTATGCTAGAAGACATGGATATGAGAGTCCGGTCTTAAGCATCTCAGTGGAAGGTAGCTGAATGGGACTTCTGGCCACGTTTTTGGGGTAGCAGCATGTCTTGGTTACTTTTCTCTCATTGAGACAAAATGCCTAATGCCCAAAATGGAAGAAGGAAAGGTTTATTTAGCTTACAGTTTTTTGAGGGTTCAATCCATACTCAGCTAGCTCCATGGCAGGGTGGTATGCCTAAGAAGCAATCATTCATGGCAGCTGCAAGCAACAAGAGTGAAAAAGAGCCAAAAGAGGAAAAAGCACACCTCCTTCATTGCCTTATATTGTATGCTGGTTACCTGTCCCTGATGGATGGGGGATGTAGCACTCACACCATCACTCCTAGGCGCTGGTCAATGAACCAATCACAAATGCTAGATTCAGCCACTTCTATGACTTCATGAGGCTTTGGGGGGATATTTAAACAAACCACAACACAGCACAACAGCAGCTTTGCAGCCTGGAGCTACACTACCTAGAGGAGACAAGCCCCAGGCTTTGGCTTTCTTACTGCATCCTTCCCTGCAAGCCTGCCCTTCGAGTCTACCATTCTAGCTAGAGGTGCCTTGCATCTGATACTAACCAGGACAGATCTTTTCTTCAGGATGAGGCTGGCGAAGGCTTAGCTGGTTACTAAAGTTACCTGATATTAAGGGGAGAGGTTTTCAAGCATCCTGCAGAAGATGTGAGTAGCACAGCTGAATGGACTCCACGTGCAACTTGAGCATGTGTGGAGGAGGAAAGGAGGGAAAAGGAGAAAAGCTGAGTTTGTCATGAACACAGGATGCCAGCCCCTCTGAAAAACATGCAGTAAGTGTGAAAGGATTGAAATCTGCAATGTATTCCAAAAAGGGCATAAGAATGTGTGCATTTTAGAATTTCTGAGTCATCAGAGAAGAGCAAAGCCTAAAGTCTAAAACGGGGCCTTCTCCTTTCTCTTCCTTCCCTCCCTGTGTAGTTTTTCTGGTTGCAGTAAAACATTTAGGATGGTGTTTACCTCAGTGTTCTTTAGTTCTGAGTTTCATGACTGGACGTAGGTGGGAATATTTACAAGACATCTGATGACAATGAGCAGTGAGAAGCAGGCGATGCTGTCTCATGACGTGACTGCACACAGTCACAGCACTGGGTCTGCTCTGTGTTCACAGGAACTCTGCCACTGGAGAGGAATTTCCATCCCTTCACGGAGCTGCCAGAGCCGCAGCAGATGGCTCTGCGCAACCTCCTGCAGGTGGTCCTGTTTGATGAAGAACTCTTGGTGGTCCTGGAGCAAGTGGTGAGACAGGCACCTCTCCAGCAGGGCTTGAAAGCCTGACTGATGTGGAGAGGGGCACGGGCCACACCTCTGAGGCCAGGGCTTTGACCTAGAATGAAACTGTGTGAGGTTTTCCATATTTTTCCCCAAACCTGGCCTATTTTCATTCTTAGTTACAGGCCTTTAATTTTCTAACTGCAGAAAGGTAGCTGACATCAGGGAGAGAGGATGTATGGCTTTCTAGGGCTGCTGCAACAAATGATCACAGATTTAGGGCTTAAAACACAGAAATTAATTTTCCTAAAGTTCTAGGAGCCAGAAGTCAAAGTGTTGGCAGGGTCACACTTCCCCTGAAAGGCCTAGGGAGAATCCTTCCTGTGTTCTGCAGCATCTGATGGCTCCGCACACCTGTGGCTGTGGCTGCGGTGCATCATCCGATTCTCTGCTCTGTCTTCATGTACTCTTCTTTTTCTTTGTTTTGTTTTTGGAGTATTGGAGATTGAAGCCAGGGTTTTTACACTGAGTTGAGGTATAGCTCTCTTTAATTTTGAAACAGTCTTGCTCAGACACTAAATTGCCCAGGCTGGGCTTGTACTTGCACTGCTCCTGCCTGAGCTTCTCAGAGGACTGGGCTTATAGGCCTACCACGCCTGGCTTCTCCTTTACTCTTTTTGTTTTTTGAGCAGGCCTTGCTATGTAGTTCAGGCTGGCCTCAAACTCATTGCTATCCTCATGCGTCAGCCTTCCGAGTGCTGGGATTACAGGGATGTACCACCATGCCTGGCTCCTTTACTCTTTTGTAAGGGTACCATCACTGGACCCAGGACCAGTTTAGGATAATTTCATCAAGATCATCACCTTAATTATATCTGCTGTAACATCTATTCCAAAAAGGTCACAAGTAAACATATTCCAGGGCTATTCAACCCACAAGGGGGCTATGTGAAAGGGTCCCAGTGAACCTGTCCTGGTAAGCTCAGGGAGAATCAGGCCTTGCACCTTTCTGTTTTACAGCAGCAGGATTTCCTTGGAGAATAAGTTCCTTTAACTATTAGTTGTGCAAATGGTGATGGAAACACAAGCTTTGTATATACCAAATGCTCAGATTTTCCATCCTTAAAACGAAGGTTTTAGAAACCTTTTTTCCCCTATGGTTTTGTTTTTTCTCTTTCTATAGGAGTTGGAATAATTGATTATGATTTCCAAGAGAGCATTCACATTATTGTTCTGTCTTGAAATTAGGTTGTGCTGTAAGACCTTAGGAACCTGCAGTTGTTGAAATAGTGCAACAACCCAGGAGACCTTGGCATTCCGGTGGATGCTAAGCCTAGCCCCAGGGAGTACACACATATTTCAAAAAGGCTGTTGCTTTTTACTTCCTAAAATAGCTCCTAAAAGGAAAATGTCAGGCTGGCCCTCTGTGACAACAGCCTTAGATGCTCTGTTGGATGCTAGAGAACACTGCTTCCGTGGTAGAGGGCACGCTGTCATACAAGCAGATCCAGATATAGAGGCCACAGATGGAGAGCTGGCTGGGTGGTCAGAACTGGCTTGTGTGGCAAAGCTCCTGGCTCCACATCTGGCCCTTTGTGGGTATATGAGGCTGCTTAGGTCTGGCTAGGAATGTGCTGTTAGGAGGGCTTTGTTTTTAGAGCTTGAGGACCATAAGAGGATGATGCTTTTTTGTATCCTTTATTCTGTATATATCCACTTGTCCCTTGTCTCTGGTGTGACTTAAGACTGCTTTTATCTGGGTCTCCTCAAGAGTCCCCACATACCTCCTTCCTCTTTGCAAAAGGATAGTACTTGGGCAAGGCTCAGCTTACTGTTTCCTTTTGGAGAAATTTAAACATGTGGATAAGTAACATCAACACAGAAAAGGCCCAGCATTTTGCTTTACTTGGTAGTAGATACAGGTTGTGGGGTGTGTTTGATGGGACAGAGGGCCTAGGTTAGGTGTACCTCATGGGGCTCTGGCTGCACCACAGTATCCTTTCCTTGTCTCCCTGCCTTACAGTGTGACGACATAGCTGGCGGCATCTGGTCCCTGCAGGCAGTGCTGGCAATGGAGGAGTTGAAGCACCCTCAGCAGCAGAACGTCAAGGACTTCTTGCATCTGGTGGGATGCAGGATACAAGGGGATTGTCCTGGCCCTGAAGATGAAGTCAGCAACCAGAAACTCTTTGCAACAGCCTACTTCCTGGTCAGTGCATTAGCAGGTATGGACACAAAGACAAAAGACAAAAAAAGAGAAATGGTTGCCGTTGGCTTTGAAACTATGCCATTTCTTCTGCCTGTTTGGGGACATAGCTTTGGCTGGAGGTTTGATTCATGTGGGTCCTTCCTTTCCAGTATAGAGTGGATAACAGCTGGGAAGGCAATGCAGCCCGATTCAGATGAGAAGCAGGACTTTCTATCAATCTTGAACTTCCTATCTGGGGCCCCTCAGGAATCCTGGAAATCATCTTCCAACAGAACCTGTGATTCACTGGCAGTGCTGTGTGGCAGGGACTTTCACTTGGTAGCTGATCTCCCCTAGCATTTCTCTCCATCTGACACTCTTCTCCTCCTTTGCAAACTTATCACTTCACCCCACCCCACCCCACCCCATGGCAGTAGCTGCTTGTGGAGCACACAGTGTCCTGCTGGAGGCTGGGAAGCAGGGCTGTGGCTGGGCCCTGCATCCCCACAGCATCTGTATTGTCTTGAGATGGCCTCCTTGGGGACTGCCATCCAGTTAGTGAAGAGCAGCAGGCCTTGCTTGCACCTCTGGTACTCCCCTCTAGCATTCACTGTGCCTGGGAGCCTGGTGGTTGCCCTTTATGAGGAAGTTGGGTTCCTTCAAGGGGTGCTATTAGAGCCTGAATTACCGATGTATTCAGGGTTCCTCTGAGTACCACACAGAAATAGCAGCTGAGGAATCTTGATTTTTTAAAAAAAATTAGCGTGTGTGTTCCAGCTGTGTGTGCTCATGAATATATGCTGTCTTCCTCCAAGTCATGGATAAAAGTTTTGACTTGTTGATGGGGACGAGCCCCTGGAGAACTCCACTAGACTTGCCCAGTGTTAACTCAGTGTAACTTTAAGGACAAGCATTCTGTCAAGGGGCTAATCCATAGGCCAGAATTCAACTCACTCAGAGGCCTTTTCTTTATATACCCTATTATCTTGTAATACTTCATACTGCTTGTCACATTTCTACCCATAGGCTGCCCAATAGCATGTGAATCTACAGTGATATTAAATATGTAACAGACTCCTCTAAGCCTAGAGACAGCTTCAGTTTTTGTGAAGCTTTGCACACTGGCAAAGTTGTCACACCATGCAAGATCGGCTTCTTCTATCTGGAGGCTCAGGGTGTTAAAAGTTTTAGTGCAGCGGGTAGTGTCTGGTGCTGAATTCTAAACCAGTGCTTCTCTTCTTCATCTCTCTCATCTCATTGATATGTGACAAGTTAGCGACAGTAGAGGTTAAGTTGGTTCACAGCAGTTTTTTTGTGTGTGTATGCCAGGGTCTCACTGTGTAGCCCAGGCTGGCCTTGAGCTCATGGCAGTCCTCCTGCCTCAGCCTCCCAAGCACTAGGGCTACAAATATGCATTACCATGCCTGGCCATGGCACTTCCATTTGTGTTTATTCTGGCACCCCTGAATTTATCTTTTCCTTCTAGATGTCAGTCTTTTCTCCTAAGAATCTGGGGGAAGTGCTAGAACAGAAAATAGGCTCCTTTTGGGTCCCAACACTGTATATTTGGTTTATAATACAGCACTTTAGAACATAACCTGACCTGTCTCCTGGAAAATTTTCTTTACCATTTTGTGACTGTAATCAGGTTACGAGCTCTGAACTCCTTGGATATTTGTAAAATGGATTTATTATATGCAAAAGAAAAGTAATTCATTTCAACTCAAGAACATTGCAGAAGCTTATACTGTATTGTACACACTGCTAGGGGTGGAGCTAGAACAAATTTAGTCCAGGACATGAGTAGTAAAAGTATTGTGGCTGTGCAGTTCTTTTATGGCTGTGCCCTGGCATCTAGTACCATGCTCAAAATAATATTAAATAAGTACTATGGCACTGCAGTATTTCCAGGAATAAGGGAAGAGGATGATGATTATATGAGGTTCAGGAGCCCCGTGGAAAGCAAGGGAAGGGAAAGACATGAGATGACAGTGGCTCAAACAGGTATCATGTGTGCTTCCCAGCTAGACCACTGTACACTCCATCTTCTTTCCTGGTTTGGGCTAGCAGTTTCCTTGAGAATGCACGTTAAGTTGTGGATTTTCTGAGTAGCAGATGCTGTCTGCCAGGGTTATCCTCTGGGAGTGGTCCCTTCATCTTAGCACCCTTCACGTTCTTGGGAACAGGCCATGTTGTATTGTCCTCACTGGGTCGCAGCCTCAGTGACATTACACATTTTCTGTTAATGGAATGAGTTTATGAGCCTAAATCAGCTCAAAGGTTGCACACTAGGGATTAAGGTTCTTTTGGGATCTGCATTTATTTTAGTCTGGGGGTATTTAATATCCATTCTGAATATATTAGTCTGGATTTCCTTGCTCTCAGGCTTGGTAGGGTCCTTCTGGTGCAGCCCCCTCTCTCAATAGTGTGGTTGTATCACTCCTCAAGCAGGCCTCACAGAACTTTCCTCTTGAAAATGACTGGTGACATGGAGGGAGCACTTTGGGTTTTTTTTGCAGTGCTCTGACATGTGCCAAATTCTAAACAAAAATAGTGATGTCAGATGAGGAAACTGAGGCACAAATAAGGTGATACCCTATTATGTAGAGAGGCTTGATTATCTCTTTTCTGTTACCAAATCATGGGAGCATTTTACTTCTCTACCCAGATTTCCTTTTTCTGGAATCTTACTATTTTTCCCGATTGGCAATTGTCAAGGAATATCCTATGGTGTCTGGATCCCTACACGTTTTCAAAAACAGTTTTTGCTGCCAATAACATTCATTCACCTTGGGCTGGGGATTTAGCTTGGTGCTACAAGTGCCTGCCTGGCAAGTGTAAGGTCGTGAGTTTGATACCAGGTACCACCCCCCCCCCAAAAAAAAACCCCAAAACAAAAAACAAAAACCAGAAAGATATTCATTCATCTATTTTAACAATTACTGAGTGCTACTGAAATATAAACTTGGTAACATCCATAGGCTTGTGTTCCCTGTGAACTTTTATTTTTTGATAGTGACTGATTTTTTTTTTCTCCTGCAGAAATGCCAGATAATGCTGTAGCTCTGCTGGGCATTTGCTGTAAACTCCAGATTATTCCTATACTGTACCACTTGGTAAGGAACCTTCTGGATGGGGTCTTGGGAAAGGCAAGAATGAGGAAATGAAGAGAGGTAGATTCTTAGTAGCTAACAAACACCTAGTTTTCTCATGCATAATAGCTCTTCAGGACAGTTTTAAACAGCTGTTGCATTAACCCCACTTTTATACACATTGCATAACTCATTGAAGGCTGAGACCTAAAGGAAAACATTTAGTGAACTGGCCAGCAGAGCCAGGACTACCACCTTTAAGACTCCAAATTGCAGCTTTTCCCATTGTATAGAGAGGACTTTGGCTAGATCAGTGCTGCACTGCAAGAATAGATCTGACTCCATATTGTTTTCAGTGGCAGCTCTGTGGTTAGACTGCCTTTAATTCTGCATTAGATTCATATTCATAGGGGATATTGAGACTGGTCTGTCTTAGGGATACACTGTCAGCTTCTTTTATCATCTTTTAGGAATAATATAAGAGCAAGAGTTAGGAAGTGATGAGTGTAGAACCAGAGAATCAAGGTTAAGCTTTTCCTTTTAAAGTTACAGATTAGGCCATTTATAGAAGGACTAGAAATAAAGCAACCCTGGAACCACCCCAATGGGGCAGCTACTTTGATGCAGCTTCTGTAGGTGTTGCTCAGCCAAGGGCAGAACAGAGCATAACTGACCTGTTCATTTAAAAGTCTGCCAGCCTGGTTTGTTGGTCTAAAGGACTATAGTTCAGAGCTGTTCTTAGATCAGGGAAGCAGGTATTGCATAAACCACCTAGACAGGACTCCAGAATGTGTTAGGCGGGTTATTCTGGGAATGCTGAGCAGTGCAGCTGATGCCTTTGCACAGTAAAAACATCAGAAGACTACATAGAGTGGCACTATTCCAAGGAGCAATCTAGATTATTTGTCCAGAGAGCAATGTATACTTATACACTGATGGCAAAAACTAAACTACTTGAAAATGTGCCAGCATGCGTGTACTGGGCCAGCTGAGGTTAACGGCTGGTGGCACAGTTTGGTTATGGAAATTGTACCATTAGATCCTAAATGGTGCAACGAGAAGCAAAATGACTGCTCTACTTTCAGAGCCTGCTTCCTTAAGAGCAGCTGAGAGCTCAGTACTTACCAAGTTAGCTTTTTCCAAATACTTACAGACTAATCTTCAGAACAGTGTATAGAAAAGAAAACCCTGACCAGGCCATTGTCATTCTTCCCCAAATACACTCATGCTTGGTTGTCATCTTCTTTGAGCATTAGCTGCAGGTTCTGACCTTTGTGTTGCCCTCATGTTTTTTGCTGGTATTCTAAAAGTGGCTGGTAGAAAACACTTGGGAGTCCCAGAATTGAGGGCATTCTGCTTGTGCACGAACCCACCTATCCACGGAGGCATTTGTTTCCCTTTTGAGAAATATAAGAGTCATTTTTTAAAAAAGATCTTCCTGGGTGTCTTCATATAATCTTTCAAGACTTACAATATATGTTTTTTAAGACAGCCAAGCTCCTGCCTCCTAAGCAACCTGAATATCATGGGCTTCCCATAGAGCACAAAATTTGCCTTTTGACAAGAACAATTTTGAGGGAGGTTTTCTAAAGATGTTTGGAAAACAGTGTCAGGTAGCCTAATACAGCTGCTAAGAACTGGTAAGTTTGGATCAATTGACAATGTTAACTTTATCTCACCACCTTTTGGTTTGTTGTAATTTCCTTTAAACCTAGACTTGTCTATGGGTAAAAGGGGTTACAGAGGTTTACAGTAAGAAGCTAGATGCTGGAGAGGTGTCATCCACCAGGCAATAAAGACATGAGGCCCATTCTGAGATCTGCAGGCTGTGATGCTCATATGCTTAAAATCTCAGCTCTGATCTACACTACAACATAATGTAGTAAGCCAAAAAGTCACATGAATCCAGTTGTTATCCTGTGAGTTGTGTTTGCCAAATCTACAAGTGATAGATTCATAAGGCTGATTCAGACAATAAACATACAAGTACTTAAATATTTTGCTGAGTATTGCTCTTCACCCATCTGAACAAGCCCCTATTTCTTTAAGTAGAATATTTTGGGTTCCCTTGTGTTTATATTTAAAACAAAAATGAAGTAGGAATATAAAATTTTGTGCTTTAAAAATGTGTTACACACATACATCAAGACCCTAAATATTTAAATATTTCAAATCTATTTTGAGGATTAGAACAATATCCATAGTAGCCTCCAAGCAGGGCTAATTTTCCTGCAGTACGCTGAATCTCTCTTTCAAGCAGTTTAGATGGTGATCGCCTTAGACAAGGTCTTTGCTCTCAAGAGCAATTCAATGTTTAGTTAGGGGAAACAGACTAAATGGAGACTAGTAAGGGAAAATTTCAGACATAGGAAATTTTGTAGGATAGGGGAATAATGTAATAGTGGCTGAGATAAGGCACTGGGGTAATGGATGCAGAGTGGCTAAGGAAAGGCACTGCAAGAGCCAAATCTAGACAAAAAAGTATTCCAGGTAGAAGGAACAGTAAGGGCAAATGTTCTTGGGGCAGGGAGCATAACTAAATAATACCTGCCTTTGAGGGGTTCCTGCAAATTTGTAAGAAATTATCATCATTTATATAAAAAACCAGATGATAGCAAAATAAAGGTGATCTGCTTGATGACTACCATGCTGACGAATCAGGACACTAAAGGAGATCTGTGTTACAAGGAGTCCTTCAACTGAAGGACTCTGGAAATTAGCAAAGTAATGATGTAAACTCTTAACAGCACGGAAAGGCAGAAAGACAGTCTAGATAAAAGAACAAAGTAATTCACAACTTCAATCCAGGTTCCCAACATGGTCAGGGAACTCAACACCATGGGAAAAGGTAAGCTGTGAAGTGCCAACTAAAATCGTACCAGCAGGCTAACTGCAGGAAAACTCCATGGTCCTCACAACTTTAAATCCAGCTTAGGAAGCTGATTGGTCTAAAAGTGAGACCACTACTCATCTTGCACCAACAAAGCATAGAACCCAAACTACTACAATAACCACTGCTATATGCCCTCTTAACATAAGGGCTGTATGCACCACGTTAGGTGGAAGTCAGTTCCTTCAGCTTTCTGCAGTATGAGAACAAGTAGCTGCTGTGGCCAGAGTTCTGAGTTACACATGTATTTGCATGTGGTTTGCATGTTGAGTTTCCTCCTCAGAGAGGACTGTAGTCACTGTTGTAAAGCTGCACCCTGTGTCTATCTGGAGCTGGAAAAGCTTCCAGTTGAGTCCTGACGCTCCAGGAACAAGGCTATCAGGAAGCCACAATCCTCACCAACATCTGTGTCCAGCCCATGGGAACTAGAGTCTCCTTATCAACTGTCATCTGCAGCATCACTTAAGCTTGTCCCTGAGAACCTGGAAGCTCCAAGACAATGACTACCAATGCCACAGGCTTGGCCTGACGAGTACTTTTCCTGAGTAACAAGAATATTCCCATCCATGGCCTTCAGCAAGGCCACAGCCCAAGCACTATTTTCAGTCAGCTTAGCATCCTGGACATCTAGGAGTGTGGATTCCATTGCCGCATTCCCAAATGTGACCTGCACGTGTACCAGAAAGACTATGGAATGTTAAGTCTTCCTTCAGGCCACAACTGCCAGTGTTAAAAGCCTGTGACTTTCCTTTTCTTTGGGGACCTGGAACGTATCATCTAAGGCTTACAAAAGCAACCAGTAGACCCAGCACCAACTGTAATTGCCCTATAGAACCAACATCCACTTCATGTTCCTAAACCTTGAATCTACAACCACCAGTGCCACAGACTCATGTTTCCTGTGTGAAACTCATGCCACTGGCACATGGTCCCATCCTGTGACTTGAGGACCATGGCTGCTGGTGCCATTACCCTTAACATCAATTGTGCTTGATCTCAGGATAGTTCTTTCCATATATCATCCCACCACAAGCTCAAATGTTTTCAGAGCTCATTTGTGGAGCCCAAAGACACTCAAGCCTATATCCACTGAAAAGTCATAGAACTACCTCCATGAACTGCTGCAGTACAGACCATGAGGGAGACTGCTGATATAAATCAAAGATAAGTCACAGTAAGTGAGCTTCCTTTATAACCAGAGCACCTATTCAACTGACATCCTCTATCCTTTATAAACAAACAAATTTTTCCTACAAAAGCTCCTTCATAAAAGTGGAAGAAGTAAACTGCACCAGATGTATAGACCATCACTAAAGCATATTATGGCCAAAAAACCAAAAGTACAAGACAGAGAATACTAAAAATGTCAAAGGAAACCATCAGTGATATATAAAAAATGCCCACTGGACTTACAACAGATTCCTCAGTAGACATCTTAAAGCCCAAAGAAGAGAATGGGATGATACATTCAAAATACTGGGAAAAAAACCCCTGTCAACCAAGAATGCCCATCAGAATTATCCTTCAGAACTGCAGGAGAAATAACGTATTTTATTTCTGAGTGAATTCATCATGACCACACCTTTGAAGAAATACTTAAGGAAATTCTGTACTAGAAATGAAAAGATAACATCTTAAACATGTAAATATATACAACACTCACTAGGAGATCAGACATATGAAAGAAAAGACAAATTTTGGTATGATACAGAACTACCAAATACATGAGGGGTGAAAATGAATAAAAAAAATTACAGGACACTTATACCCATTAATAACAACATTGAATGTAAATGGATTATGTTAATCAACATGCTGAATGGATAAATGAACATGACTCAACAAGAAACTTACTTCATTGGTAAAGACACCAACTAAAAAGATACCATCATTCATTTGACAACCAAAAGCAAGCAGGAGTAGTGATCCTCAGAAAAAGCAGATCTTAACTCAAAGACAATAAAAGGAAAGGTCATTATATATTTATAAAAGAATCAGTTCAGGAAGAAGACATCACAGTTTGAAGTATGCATCCAACATGGGAACACTCAAATATATAAACTCAGTACTATTAGATCTAAGAGAGCAGGGAGGGATGAGGTGACAGACTCTATATAGTAACAAGTATGTATTTCAACACTCACAAACCTACAAAATTCCTTACCTGAATTTATAGAGCAAATGGAATAGATATTTCCAGAATGTTTCATCTAACAGCAGCAGAATACACTTCTTATCAGCACATAGATCATTCTCCAGGAGAGGGATTTTACGTTACCAATGAAGTCTCAAGAAAAAAACTGGAATCATGTATCTTCTCAGACCACAATGGAATATAAATACAAATCAACAAGAATGGAACATATACCAATACATGAAAATTGAGTATATGCTTTTAAGTGACTAATGGGTAATTGAAAAATTATGAGAAAATGTCTAGAAACAAATGAGAATGACAACACATATACAAAAATCTGTGGGATACAACAAAAACAGTAATAAGTTAATAAAAATAATTTAAAAACAACAAAAAAATCAAATAACTAAGTATTTAAGGACTTAGGAAAGCAAGAAACCAAACTTCGAATTAGCAGATAGAAAGATCAAAATTATTTTTTAAAAACAAAACTGAGACACTTTTAGTTGGATTAACAAGGAGAAATTCAGAGAAAAAGGAGATACTACAAGTAATGAATACAATTGATCACAAACTATGAGTAATTATGTATTTAAAAACTGGAATCCTTGGGTTCAGTCCTGGTATTGCAAAGAAAAATTTAAAAATACAGAAAAATATAAAAACTGGGAAATGTAGAACAGATATTCTGACTACAATGTACCAAAATTGAATCAACAAGTAAAATATCTAAACAGACCAATAATGAGTAATAAGATTGAAGCAGTAATTAAAAATCTCCCAATTTAAAAAAATCCAAGACCTCTTGGCTTACTGCTGTATTCCACAAAAGAAGGAATTCCAGTTGTTCTTACACTATTCCAAAAAAGAAAAATAGAAGACATTTTGCCAAACTCTCTTTAATTGACACCAAAATCAATACTGCCTTGATACTAAAGCCAATCAAAGATATAACAAGAAAATATAAAAGATCAATACCTCTTATGAACACAGAGGCAAAACTATAAATATTACCAAACTGAATTCAACAGCACATAAAAAGATCATAATTTGACAAACCAGGATTCATGCCAGGAGTACAAGGAGGGTTTTAGCACATGCAAATCAATAAACATGATACAACACATATAGATGTAAAAGGATCAAGATTCATTATGTATATGTACCAATATCCCAAGGGGATATGCATTATATATTGCAAATATATATTAATTAAATTTTTTACAAATCCATTACCATCAAAATATCAGTAACAGGCCAGATGTGGTGTCACACACTTGTAATCCCAGCACTCAAGAGGCTGAGGCAGGAGGATCTAGAGCTTCACATCAGCTTGGACCACATACAAAGATCTTGTCTCAAAAGTAAAAAAGAAAAAATTGAAAAAATGCCAATGATTTTCTTTGCAGAGGTATGAAAAACAATCTTACAATTACTATAAAACTACAAATGACCTAAAATAGTAAAAGCAAACCATATCAGAAATGATGCTGGAAGCATCATAAAACCTGACTTCTAAACACAGAGCACTCAGAAATCAATACCTTTTCATATAGTCAAACTGCAAACTCAAAATACCAAGAATATAAAAAATGGGATACCAGACAGTGTCATAAAAAAAATGGTGCTAGCAAAAAATTAAAATATAAAAGAATAAAACTAAGTCTCTTCTCACCTCTCACAATTAAAAATGGATCAAGACCTAAGTCTTACCCCTGTAGCTCTGAAATTACTACACACACACAAAAAAAGGAAACAAAGTGTAGGGAAGGCAATGATTTTTTAGACAGATCCCACAGGCATAGACAAGAAAAATAAAAATACACATGATACATCAAACTAAAACTTCTGTGCAGCCAGGGAGCTAACAGAGACAACCTACAAAATGGGAGAGAATATTTACAAACTATCTGACAAAGGATTAGCATCCAGAACATACAAGGAACTTGAAAAATGGGCTGAACATCTAACCAGATAATTCTCAAGAAAAGACATACAGATAACCAACAAATACCAGAAAAAATGCTATCTCACCATCAGAGAAATGCAAATGAAAACCACAGTGACCTATCATCTGACCTCAGAATGACTAGCATAAAAAAAAAATCCCCAAATAACAAATGGGGAGAGGATGCAGAGAAAAGCTGTTATACACTGTTGGTGGGTAAGACCTTTATGGAAAACAGGAGAGTCCTAAAACCAATGAAAAGAGAATTACCATTATGATCTAGCAGTCTCACTCTAGGTATACATCCAAAGAAGGTGAAATCACACAAAAAAGGTGCCTGCACTTCCATGTGTATTTTAGCTCTCATAACAATAGGTAAAATACAGATTCAGCCCAGATGTTCTTCGGTAGATGAGTAAAAGTGTGCATACAAACAATAGACTATTGTTCAATAACTATAAAAAGAAATCCTGTCATTGTAGTAACATGAATGGAGTTGGGTCATTAAGTGAAAAAGGCAAATTATCACATGTTCTTGTACATTTGTGGTAATAAACCTATCTTATAAAAAGAAAGAATGGTCACTAAAATTGTTCTTTAACACAGTAGGGTTAACTACTGATTAAAAATCTGTATTTCAATGTGACCAGAAAAGTATAGAATTCCCCTACACATAAAAATGACTAATATTTGAAGAGATGGAAATGTATATTACTGAAATGACATACTACATACATGTAATGAATTTCCATAATGTACCCCATAAAGATGTCTCAATTTAAAAAATTAAACAGCCTCAGTAAACTCTAACATTAGTATGTGATGAAGGTATATGATGAGCTTTCTAATCTACTGGAGTTAAGAGTTCAGAGGGAGAACTCTAGGAACATTGGATAAAATCACACATGATACATCATGTGTGGATTAAATATATCTTGGATATATATCTGGCATGGATTAAATATATCTTGTTTATCTTAAAAGTTTTCCTGTTTGGAGAATTTAAATTTAGTGTATTTTCCCCCTAGTTATCCAGAAGTGTACTGCTGTCCAACTATATTGATTTTCTGTATTTTAAAGTAAGTCTCGTCATTTCAGCTTCGTGCTTTATCTGATGATGGAGTATGTGATCTTCAAGACCCAACTTGGGCTCCTCTGAAAGACACAGAAAGGTTTGGGGTTGTGCAGCGCCTGTTTTTTGCCGCCGACATTAACCTGGAGCAAGAGCACTCATCTGTGAAAGCCTCCATCCTGAAGGATCCTCATATCTTTCCTCTAATTCTTTATATTACTCTGAATGGACTCTGTGCTTTAGACAGAGAACATTAGAAATGTCTTGTCAAACAAAAGTACATGTAACTGGCCAAGGCTGGGTGTTTTTCAGAATTAAAATACTTTGGAATTTAGGTCTGGTGTATCTTAAAAGTTGATCAGTGAAATGAATTACAAGGTACTTTGTATAGTGGTGTTTTTCTGCACTGTGAATACCATCAGGCTCTTTACATGGTTTCTTTGTTTCAGAAGCCTTCTCCTGCCGGTAAATGATGAACGCCTGGTATCCAAGGTAGACACTAGTACCTGAAGAGCTGTATGGGGGGGGGGGGTGAGATTTTGAGCAGTTGTACCCTTAGACTTGTTTTCTGCAGAATGAATCCACCTATCATTTTCTTATACCTTCTACTTTGTTATACAAAAACAGAGGATCCCAACACTTTAACCTATAAAATTCATTTTAAATTGTGAATGCTGTAGCAAGGCCGCTTCTCTTCATAGAATCTACATTTTGGATGTGCATGCTATGTAACTGGTGACTGAAAAATGTATAAATGCTACTAAAGATATATGTATATGAAAGAGTTGCTGGCCCAGATGGAACACTGTAACCAGAAAAGGCTGCAGCTAAACTCCTCCCCTCCCTGCCCCCTATGGACTTGACTGTAACCCTATATCCCCATCCTTAAGAATCTGTGCGCCAATGAGATACCTGTGCATCTCTAATGGCCTTAGGGCGCTGCCCTAAGCTTAGGCTATTTAGATGCCCCCATGCCATGTGTCCGAGACAGTTCACCAGAGAGAGTTCGCCAGAGAGAGAGAGCTCGCCGCATTCCAGCGGCCAGCGCCGGCCCAGCGCGCCAGTCTCCACTCCTCGTGTTCCCGGAGACACCACCGGCCCCGGGTGCAGAGATGCTGCGCCCCAGGCCGGCAGCGGGGGGGCCCCCTCCCCGCATTCCCGGAATAAAGTCACCGCTGCCCACTACTTTCACGGCCGTCTGCTCCATACCTCCCACGGACTTCTTTCTCTCTCCTTCTCTCCCTTCTCTCAGACCTAACAGTATGTATCTGCAAAACCAAATTATACTAAAAATCTAATAGTGAAACACTTCAAGAAGTCTAGCTATATCAAAGCATAGCAAGATCAAATGATAAACATTAATTCTAAGTCTAGAACAATGTATTGGTCTTATGCATTTTAGTAATTTAATTTGCCAAAATTAATTTTTAATCAAAGGGAAATTTGAATTGTGTATATTTTGGTTTTTATTGTTCTGACATCCTTCTATTACAAATGGCTTGGACTGTCTCCCTAGGGCCTCTGAATCCACTGATCTGCCGTCCATCAGGGCCTGAAGCACTGGAGATGAAGAGCAGTAATGGTTGGAAAGAAGCATGTTACTCAACACTTGTTGTTTTATCTCAGCATCACCTGCTCTTTCTTCCAGTTTTTAATAAGCATTAACAAGGAGGAAATCAAACAATCCTTTCATCACATTTTAAAAATGACTTGGTCTTATGTAAATACTATTATGTATGTGTGTATGTAGAGGAGAAGAATATAAAGCAGTGGCCACTGTACAAAAAAATTATACACAAATTGGAAAAAAAATTTTGGTCTCATTTTATGAAGTAAAATTAAAAAAATGTGAAGTAAAATTAAAAAATAGTCTGATGTTCTGTAACTTCTAAACTTTTATTTTTACCTATAAGTAAAAATACATTTCTCCCATAATAAACATTTATTTCTTTATATATACATGAAAATATTTTACCCGGATTATGTAATCTTACAAATGGAAAATTTCAGTAATTTTTACTTTGGATAGCATATAAAAATATGTGAAAAGGCTTACTGAAAATAATTTATACTGCAGGAAGATTAATAAGGACATAACACTATTTTATATACAAACTAGTAATATAATTAGTAACATAATTACTAGTACTTTATTTTTAAACTTTTCATCAGAAAGTTAAAACATTTTGTTCAGCCTTGATTTTTATATTGAAACAAGCATTTTGCTTTCTTCTACAGTCCCTTTCAAGACCACAGATTAAAAAATGCATGCGTTTGTGTCCAGAAGATATACAAAATGAACTGGAGGGAAGGGATTAAAAAAATATTCCCCTGGCAAAGTTTTCACATCTATTGCTCCTTAATAGCTATACCAGAGTTCAACAAGACATGCAGAAAATTGCTTTTGTTTTTTGAACCCCACTGATCACAATTCTGTGACAAAATCTACAGTACTAAGCCCTTGCCAAATGCACTGGTCACTATTCTGTGACAAAATCTAGAGAACTGGCAAAAAAAAAAAAAATTTTTTTTTTTTAAATCCGGGTTTTAGTGTTACTGAAGAAACAAGGGCCAGTCTGCAACTCTTTTTAACACTTTCATGGAAGTTTGAACTACCAGTGGTCCATGCATGACTGTGCTACTGGGCAGCTTGTGACACTGTTGGTACAAATGGATATAATCACTTTTATTAGCCTATTAATAAAAAGCCACCTGATGGAACAGTCACACAATGACCACTGATGGTTCAAGCCACCAAGCAGTGAGACATAAATTATAAGGCCGTTGTGAATGTTAAAAGAGGATAGGTAGCCATAAGAAACGTTTATCTCATATTTCAAGTACAGACCAGATGCAGATGATCTATGCATTACATCTGGTTCTTCTTGAAAGGACTCAGGACTACAGGCTTGGAATGTGCTTACAAGAGTAACTTTTATGTTTTTAGAGCAATGTTACTGATGCTACTGCTTATTTTTCCTATTTAAGAGGATTGAAATCCACACATTTTAATTAGTAATGTCAGTAATTTATAGCTGATAAGTTTTGTCTGGTTTTGGGTGCTAGGGAATCAAATCGCACACTACCACTGAGCTATGCCTCCTAGCTTAACAGGTTTTTGTTTGTGTTAACAGTTCCATTTACAGTTATACTTTATATTTTACAAAGTAGCATTAAATTGACTAAAATAATATGTATTTTTTAACATGCTTGCATTTTTTTCTCCTAATTTATCCTTAGATGACTATATCATATTTCACAAAAAAATTATTAGGGCAACTTATTTAACTTCTAAATTTCAAAGCTATAAAACCTATTTATGCCTGAAATAACTTTTCTTTTCAAATCTACTTCATTTTAAAGAGAAAAAAATTCAAAACACAATAAAGGGTAACAATACAGTATATGTGTGTGTGTGTGTGTGTGTGTGTATACATTATTCTTTCAGCTTTTCACATTAGTGAGACAATATGATGTTTACATGTCTGATTTATTTCACTTATGCATCCATTTTCCTATAAAAGTCTCCAGTCTATTCTTCTTTATGGCTGAGTAGTACTCATTGTAGCAAAGTATCACATCTTTTTTATCCATCCTTCAGTCAATGGACATTTCGGTTGTTTCCAAGATTGAGGTAATACAAATTGTGCTGTTATAAACATGGGTACACATATATTGCTGTGGTAAGAAGTTTTTAATTTTACTGAGAAGATACCCACAAAGTGAACAGCTGGGTCAAATGGGATCGTCAATCCTAGTTTTTGAGGAATCACCACACTAATTTTTTCACAGTGGTTGCACCAGTCTACACTCCTACCAACAATGGAAAAGGTTCCTTTTCCCCTACAGCCCATCCAGCATTTGTTATTTCTTAATAGCCATTTTTTCCATGCTGAGGTGGAATCTCAGTGTTGTTTTGTCTCTTTTTAATTGACCAGTGATGCTGAACATTTTTTCATATATTTGCTGTTTATATTTTTCTGAGAAGTGTGTATTCATCTCAGATACTGATTTTTGGATTGGGTCTTTAAATTGGGAGGACTTTTAGTTCTTTGTATGTTCTTGACAGTAATCCTTTGTTTGAGGAATAGCTAGCAAACATTTTCTCTCACATTGTAGGTTTTTAATTCTGTTGGTGGTTTCTCTCGCTGTGCAAAAGCTTTTCAATAGGATGAGATCCCAGTTGTTGATTCTTTGTGATAGTTCCTGTGCAACTGGGATTTTGTTCATAAAACTCTGCCTATACCAATGTCTACAAGAGTTTTACCTATTCTATCTTCCAGCAGATTTCATATTTTTGGTATAATATTTATATCTTTGATTCATTCCAAATTTAGTTTAGTGCAAGGTGAAAGATGTGGGTCCAACTTTAATCTCCATGTGCAGAGCCAGTTTTTCCAGCACCGTTTTTTAAAGAGGCTGTCCTTCTTCCAGTGAATGTTTGGCACCTTTATCAAAGATAAGGTGGCTTTGTGTGTCTGTAGTTGTTTCTGCACCTTTTAATCTGAGCCAGTGGTCTTTTGGTTTGTTTTTGGCTAGTACCACACTGTTTTTTTTTTTTTTAAATCACAGTAGCTTTATAGTATAATTTCAAGTTAGGGATTGTGATGCTCTTGCTTTTGTTGCCCAGGATTGCCTTTGCTATCCTAGGTCTCTTCTAGTTTCAGATGTATTACAGGGTTATTTTCTCTAATTCTGTGAGGTATATTATTAGAATTTTGATTCAGATTGCATTGAATCTGTGTAACGCTTTTGGAAGTATGGCCATTTTCACTATATTGGTTCTTCCTACCCAAAAGCATGGGATATTTTCTATTATCCTCATCAGTCTCCTTTATCAAGTAATGTAATTTTCAATGCAGAGATCTTTTATCCTTCAGCAGATTGATTTATAGGTATTTCATTTTTTTGGATGCTATTATGAAAGGTTTCCCTGGTTTCTGAGTTATTCATGTACAAGGCTATTGATTTTTGAGTGTTGACTTTGTATCCAGTTATCCTACACAATTTATTAAATCTACCAGTATTTTTAGTAGTTTTTGCGGCCTCCAATGAGAGTATCCTGTCATAGCAGGTTGAGTTTTTAATGTTTGCGTTTTTTTCCTTTTCAAGTTAGTACATTAGGCTTTGGCCAAGTTCTCACACCACCTTGATGTGAGGAAAGGCAAATTTTAGGTATGGCTTCCAATATATATATTGCTACCTTGGCTTACTGTTGGCTGAAGTACATTACAGATTAAAATTTCCAACTTTTAAAATCAAAAGCTGGGCAGAGAGTGCAATGTAAATGCCCAAGGCTCTATCCCCATCATCAACCAATAAGACCTTGTGGCATCTGGGGTAACAACAATACCTATTTTATGGGACTCAAAGACGGCTGTTCTTTAAACAGCAAATAGGTTAACTTTTAAGTTCTGAGCAGCAATTACTCTAATTCATTCAGTTCATGCTGGAAAATAAAGGGTGATATGAGAAGAAAAATAAGGAAGAATTGTCATTTCTGTGGAGGTTAAGTCTAATTTACAATACCACTTCATTAACAGCCAATGGCCAAGAAGCAAACAGAAAGACAGCAGTAACAATTACTTGAATTTGAGGTTACAACTAGATCTAAATGTGAATGTTTCCTCGTATAAAGAAATAGATGTCTTTTAACACTATGTGTTCAACTATAGTGTTGCAGTGATAGATTTTAGGTATTAGAATAAAATGGAGTAGCTTTAGGAGCAAAGATCAGAGTCTGTTCTAATGTACAATGAGGATTGCTTATATTTTGATTGATTTGTCCATGAATTGGTTGCCACCAAGGATCTGCTATTATAAGTTTGGATCTGGAAGATGATCTAAAAACTACAAGGAACCTGCTGTGTTGGACTACTGAGACAGCAGAACAGAACTATACCTTTGGGGCTGTTCTAAACTGGAGGTAGGATTCCTGGCAGCATTTGCCATCTACTGCATCTCCAAATTTGGTACGCTTTAAAGGAACTAAAAGATAATTAATTCCAATGTAAGGAAACATTTAATTGATAAAGTAGGCTAGTAGATATTTATCACATCACAGTTACAAATTATTCCTTAGAATTTAAGGTGAAGACAAATACTTAGTTGTATTTAACAAGTGGAATAGTAAAGGGAAATAGAATTTTATAAAAAATCACATGATCAGAAGTCCAAATTAGGGTTTTAGGAACAGTACACTATTTTTAAGTTTATCATGAGAATATTTTTACAACAGTATTGGAGTGTTTTGCTAACGTTCTGCAAATCATGCTTCTTACCTTAAAAATGAAATATGATCATTCTCTCCCTTGGAAATGAAATATGCTCATTTTCTCCCTTTTTTAAGGATTCATTTCTGATTCTGTGCATTTTTTAAAAAATCATTCCAGGTACACAGACAGTAACAAAGAAATGCTTTTTGAAAACTAATGTAACTTGAAAACCTAGAACACAAATGCAATTTAAAAAGTGCCTTAAAACAAATTTCTCATCTTCTTCAACTATAGCACATATACTTATGTAAAACTGATATGTTAGTCAAATGTCTTAAAAGTTTGTCACAGTTGCTTATATGATATACAATGATCCAATTTAAAATACCCAGTTTATCCCAAGAACCCAAAATATAACACACAATTATTACATGAATCTTCATTGCAAATCCCTTGAAATAGGAGGGTAGGTATCTGCAATAATCCCTAAGTCTCCTGAACTGTATTACAAATTAATCTAGTGATCTGAATATTTCCCAAAAGTCATCTATGGCTACTTTTTTTTCTTAAGGAAATTAAGTCATAATAATGAATCATAATTTTGAGTTTAATTTCTCATAACTTTTACATAGGCAGTAGCAGCTTCAAGGTGGAAATAAGGCCTTTTAAAATGATGTTTCAAAACATCTAGAAACTTGGAAGTAATTAAAAATTTCAGAACAGTAGCTACAATGAATGCATGAATTATTTTATTCATGTAATTTGGGAGCATGTTACAGATTATACGTATAGCTGTATATATATTTACATACACACACATATAGGAACTCAAACATTTAAAAAAGGAACTAGTTATGTACATTAAACTTTAGGATTGCCTTTTCCACATTTAGTATAAAGATTCATTACTACAAAATTATTGGCTCTCTAGTCTGTGATTTCATGGAGTATTATTTCAGAAGTTATAGAAGTAAAATGTAAGGAAATTATTAAACAATTTCCAAAACTTCTTTTGAGTATGATAATTCAAAATAACTGTATCTAACTCTATGGCTATCCATCTTGAAATTATTTTCCAACCTTAGATCTTAACACTTCTGTTATACATAGGTATCATCTTAATGAATTTTAAAAGTAAGGATCTTTTATTATCACTGAGATATCGCAGTCAAAGCAGTATTTGGTCATCATCTGTCACACTACTGAATTTTGTTAATTTGTTATTATATTTATTTTAATAACTTGCCATTTTAAAGAAACGTAAAGGTTTTTATGAATGAATTTACTAGAATGAACTCTAGAATCTATGGTTTAGGCTATTGTAATCATACTGGGTTTCTGACATGACCTACATTTTAGAAAGCTATGGTCAGCAATTGTATAAAGTTGGTCAAAATAATCCTGATATTTGACATTTGGTATTATCTAAATATCAAACAGAAATGGAGATTGCACAATAAAAGCATAGTTGTAATGAAGATGAGCATTCTATTTGTAGGGCATCAAGTATATTCTACTAGTTACAGATAAGGCCGTTGCTTCTACTGGTATTTGCACACTGAATATGAACAATATAATCTTTAGTTGTATAGCCATGCTGGATGTGAACACTCATCTGTCCACAAGGAACCCTTGTATTTATGTGTTAGCACATCATAATCCACAAAAATATAAACATGTGTGCATATATTTTACTTATTCCCAATTGTTCACCATCAACTGTAAACCATTTTCTTTTCAGTAAAGCTACTATAGATAATAGGTTTATTATTGGAGGCTTTTTCCACGAGAGAAGTACACACATTCTTGTCACATTACCTAAGAATCCTGAGTGGGGCCTCTGGGCCTTCTTGCCTCAGTAGGGCCCTGCTGGTTCCTGCAGACTCAGAGGGAACTTGGATTTCAAGTTCAGTGATTCTTCATTGATGTACGGTGGACTTTTTAAAATTTATTTTCTTCAGCATTTACATTGAACTGAACGGCATCGTTTCATCTTATGAGAATTCTAATCTGCATTAACTAGTCAAACATGAATATTAAGTATAGACTATTCCAGATAATATGCATTTTTATATTACATGGTAAGATTAAAACAGGTGAAAGTCACCTCTATTGTACCATGATGGTAGAAATAGTCTGTAGATAAACCGCTGCTACAATTATCTTGAAGCTTCTTAAAAAAACTTGGTGTTGAAACATTAAATCATGAGATCACATTGAAGCTGTGCTTCGATTTATGTTGCTCTAGAAGCCAAGAATTCTGAGTAAATATATATATGACCTGAAATTTTCCAAAGTTATTAAAAGTATCTATTTGCCAACAATTTCCTGTTGCATGACAAAGACAAAAATTTTTGAAATTCTAGAACTAAAAAATTTAAAGACCTACAGACTTCAAAATTTTAACTAGATTGTTAAAATCTAACATTTTTCTCTCATTGTAGAAATGATTCAAAAAAATGTGTAAATACTGCTTACTGTCATGCATTTTTTTCTTTTCTGAGAGACTTTCAAGCTGGCATTCTACGTGATACCTCTGATGAGGGGAAAAACAAATTCAGCAGCCAAGTCTCTGATGCTTGCACCAGACAAAAATTACCATTAATATTTAAGCACTTAACCCTTTAAATGTGAATACTCTGTATATGAAAAGCTAGCAGCAATATACAGTATGATCAACTCAGTTTAGTGATGAGCTGTGCTTCTGAATGTGTTTTAGGAAGACTTTACTCATCATCCAAAAATCCTAAAAGAAGATACTAAGATAAATATGGAAATTATACATTACATCAATGCATCTAATGGAAGACTCCCCATTATTAAACAGAAAATGCACTTACAGAAATGTAAAATATACAAAACATTATTGTATATAGATGATATACATATTATATAATGTACACGTGTATATAAAACAGGTGACATCATTTCCAAATTTTGTTCAAATGATTTGATTTTCATCACAACAAATAAAACACATACCCTACCAATTACATCACTGCTCAAAAAGCACACTGATCTTTCACAAAAACTTCCAACTATAAACTTAAAGGCATCTTTAAACAACACAGAAATCTGCAGAGGCATGATACTTTTGCTGACCATATCCTTAAAAAAAATCTCTAAATTATTAGGGTCAACTTTTTACATGTGAAAATAAAACTTTTTTCAAATGTCACTTTGTGTCAGAATAAGGCACTCTCTCAGTCTGCATGACCTTGCTTCCAGCCTGACCTTAATGTATACATGTCCAATTAACATCTACATGTCACTTCACCAAACAAAAGGAATAACCTCAAAAGAGAGTGCGAGGTATTGCTCTTTGTTTTTTTCCACTAACGATAGAAACAAAGAGAAAAAAAAAAAAACTGAATTAACTGTATAAATTAGAATGGATAGCCATACATCTCTGAAATGATGAAAAATGTGGCACTGAACAGATTTTTGATGTCAGGTTTAGATGGTAGTACACTTGTAGCACTGACATTAAAATTCTGCTTCTGTAAGAAATTTGATTAAGAAGGAAGGCCAATACTACTGTTTTCTCCTCATAAGAGGAACTGACCCTTCACTAGATAAATACTGAACTAAATGACAGCTTTATAAAACTATTTCAAGTATTCATTATCACAGTGAAAATGTGAGACCATGTTAAAGTGAATGATTTGAAAATTCTTTTGATGAAAAAGGCAAGGGTACCAAATCAAAACATATACAAAATGCTTCAACGCATTTCTTTATGTGATATGAATAGAAAGATTATCCATAAAAAGTTAGAAAAATTAAGATAAATTATATATACCTTCCCAACCATATTATATATAAAAATTCAGAATAGTCTACTGTTATTTCAATCCACACAATAAAAATGCCTGGACTTGGCAGATAGCTTCTATCTGTGCATGTATTTTCTCAGTAGAAGGTTTATTCATTGAGTTGCTTTTGAAAAGTTTTAATTGTTAACCTTACTGAATCATCAGTAAACCCAGCTGATGGGGACCCATTGTGGTTCCATCCTCAGTTTCTCTATGGCAGTTTGTAGTTTCTCAAAGGCTTTGTCTAGATTGTCGTTTATGATGATCAAATCAAAATAGTGGTTGTACGCTCTCTGAATCCGGGCACTTTCATCCACTGTTTTCTTCAAGTCAGAGTCCTATTAAAAGAATTTTAAAAGAAAAAATGTTTGAATGGTAATACATATTTACTTTCTCAAAGAAAAAAACTGGGTGCTTAATTGTGATATTAATCATTAAATCTAACCTACAGTGTTATGAAACACATTACTGTGCATACCTTAGTCTTCCATCTACAGTCATGTTTGTAATTATGAGCATTTTTTAATCTTCTGTTTTGTTGATATTAGGATAATTCTTAGTTAAAAAACTGAATGATCTTTGGGTAAATCTAACGTATTAAAATAACTACTGCAGGTGACTGGTTTCTAGCTCAACTACACTGTTCTTAAACGACTCTTTTTTAAAAATGGCATTGGAGGGGATTGGGGATTTAGCTCAGAGGCATAAGCACCTGCCTTGCAAGCAGGCAGTCGTGAGTTTGATCCCCAGTATGATAAAAAAGAAAAAGACAAAAAAAAAAAAAAAAAAAGAAGCAAAAATGGCATTAGGATTGAACTGCGGGTCTTCACACTGAGCTACATTGCCAGCCCCTTCTGTTTTTCAATTGTGAGAGAGGGTCTGCTAAGTTGGCAACTTTGGTCCAAGGCTGAACTGGGTGTGTGCTGGGGTAAGCAAGATGCGGGCTCTACCACCCCTAATTTCAAAAGATTTCTATTTTATGGCCTATGTAAATCATGGAACCTGTTATGGTTTGATAACTAGTGGTCAACTTAACGCCAGCTGGATTACATCAGCATGCATTGAGAGAAGATGTTCCACCTGAGGAGGGTTGCCAGGATAAATAGGTGGAGAAGAAGAGAGGAGTGGAGAGGGATTGAGGCGTTAAGGAGGCATTGTTAGTTCTCCTACGAGTTGTTGTCTGAGCTGTTGGTTCTCCTGGAGAAGATTTGGTCTTCACATCGAGCATTGCTTCCTGGCTCCGGAGGGGAAGACATGTGCTGCCTGGGTGTGCTTCAGGGTGAACTCGTCACGCTGCTTCCTGGCACGTTCCCAACTGTGCTTGTCGTTGGAGGAGCTCGGGGCCTCCGTGTCGCTGAGGACAGCTGTGGTTCCTTTCAGGTCAGCCCCGCTCTTTGTTGTGAGTGTGACTTCTCAGCTCCAGTGTAGAACCCTCATCCCACTAGCACAGCTCCTTCATCCTGCTGGCATGAACTTTCTGGCTTCCACCGCTGACCCTTGGGTCTTCCCGGCACGAATCCGTAAAAGAGACTGGTGTGAGTCCTTGTGGGCCCTGGACTTCCAGTTGGACTCGTGGAGGCGTTGTCCTGAGCTCTGGGTTTTTATCTGGACTCATGTGGGACATTGCCATGGGGTTTAGACTCTTGACTAAATAATCTATGTTGTTGGTGTTGCGGATAGATTTCCTGCATTCTCCTGTGTTAACTTTCAGTGACCATTATAAAAATATTATAAACTCCATGTCCTGACCTGAGTTGTTCTCTGTGTAATAACCCTGGACTACAACAGAAATAAAGTGCTAGTCGCTGTTAAACTCAAAGCCTATTTGCCACCTATTAGGAAGAAAGTCTTTTAAAGTATATTCTGAGGACTACAAGCTTTCTACCCACCACCAAAACACATATTCATACACTTTAGTTACATTTTTATAGCTAGTACTGTTTATATTTTATACTAGTTCTAGTCCTTTAGGAATGATGGAGGGGGCACATAACTAATGGGGTCCACCTGAGCAGATAAGGCTTTTCAAAAATTCTGTTTGAAATTTCACTCTATTTTTTTTTATATTCTAAACATTTTTTACTGGATTCCTATCAAAGGGACTACCATCAGAATTGGTAGACATGACAATGATTAAGAGGGAGCTGCTGCCTCATGGTGAAGGAGACAGACTAAAGACAAATGAAAAATTGATAAATTGTATTATAAGAGAAACAAACAAGGCACAAAGGATTTTAAAATATCTACTTTATTTGTTTTTGGTACTAGGGATCGAACTCACAATCCTCGCACTTGGCAGGCAGGCGCTTGCGCTGCTGAGCTCTATCCCCAGCTCCAAATATCTACTTTAGAATGATTGGAAAGACACAATAAATGATACTTAAGCTACAAACTAAAGGGAAATAGTTATTATGCATATAGTAGGAGAAAGAACACCTTTAAGCAGAGAAAACAGCAGCGCAAAATCAAGAGGAAGGAAATGGTCCAGGTATACTGAGACTAAAAGAAGACCAGAGTGGAGGAAGGTTGGTGGTTTGGTTATGGAGGGCCCAGTATGATAAGAAAAGACACCTCTGGGTCTTGATAGTGGAGAACAAAAGGTTCTAGAATAAGAACTGCTTAGATCTTATTGAACAGATTTTAAAAGCAAGTTCTAAAATGATTAAACTATTCCAAATAACTGCATCTCAGAACAAAACTCAAAGTGTCTGGCATAACAAAAATTACTAGGATTGCAAAGAAATAAAGAATGAACCAATGAAAATAATAATTCACAAAACTGGCCCAAGCCAGGTGTGGTGGTCCAGGCCTGCAATTCTAGCACTTGGGAAGGCAGGAGGATCACTGCAAGTTCAAGGCCACCCTGAACTATACAGGCAGTTTAAGGACAGCCTGAATTACATAGGGAGATTCCATCTCAAAAAACCAAAGAAGGAAAGCAGGCATATTAATAGGCAACGATGACATTAAAAAGTTGTAAATATTTTTTCACATATTCAGAAAGTTAAGTACAGACATGGAGAAACTTGAAAAAGAAGAGGACTACTAAGGTCTGATTTCAATTCAGTCATACAGTGGTAAAGAGGGTGTAAGGGGTCATTTGGTGTGGCAATCAAGTTACACAGGGAAAAATGTGGTGATCATAGACACATAGACATATTCATTACTTTGGTTGGGTTGTTTCATGAGTGCACACACATGCCCAAACTTATCAAACTGGACACTTGGATACATATAATTTTATGTAATCATAACTCAAGCTGAAAAAAAGACAAAAGATATTAAGTAAATTCGTTATGTTCATTTGCAACTCATTATTTTTCTATTTTTCATCTTTTGTAGTTCTAGGGCCTCATACAGTCTAGGCAAATACTCTGCCATTGAGTTATAATCTAGGCCAATGTGTTGATCTTGTTTGGATCCTATAAATATCATAAATTTTGGAGAAATTCAAATATAGATTGCATACTAATGATATTAAAGTATTTCTTATTAATATTTTGTGCATGAATTGTGCTATGAATGTGTTTTCCAAGTACTATTTTAGAAATAAATACTATTGTACTTTTGGATGGTATGATACCAAAGATGTGTTTTAAAATAATTCAAGGTGAAGGAGGAAGTGGAGAGAGGTCTAACTGAATCAAGATTCGCCATGTATTACTAAAACTAGGTGGTGATAACATGAGGACTCATTTCTTACCTCTTTTGAACACATGATCTTAAAATTTCTATAATATGATAAAAGACAGAGGGAGAAAAACAGAAAGCATGTAACAAAAATAAACAACTACTTCTACCAGTAATAAACCATATGATTAATAGGCTCATTAATAGTCTTGGGACCATTTTGTCATTAACAAAATGAGCTGGATTAAAATTTATATTTTAATACTGGTCCTTTCCATTCTACAAAGGGAATTATGCTTTTGTTTTAAACTAAAGTGAAAGGAGAAAAGGGGAAATACAAAGGATTAATACGTGTTAGGTTCATGTAAAAACTCCCCACGATGAATATAACCATTATGTATTTCAAATATGTACCAATAAAGGTAAAAACTAAAAAAAGTGAATAACCACTCTCAAATAAAATCAACTATTCTAACTGTATCTGTTGAACAAAATTTTTTATTCTATAATATTTCACACAGTATGCTTATTTCCTAAATATAAATATACAGGATTAAACATATTCAAAAGAAAGGAAAAGGAAACAATTTGGCAAAAATAAAATTGTTAGATTAAAAAGAAGTGTTCACCGTCAAAAGCTTGGTAGTGATTCCTGCATCCACCACAGCCTTGTGCATGGCACGTAATGTCTCTAGCTCTGGAGCAGCAATAAACACCACATACGGCATGAATTCAGATGTCCTCAATACCTTCAGTGCCTGTGTAGAAGAATAATTACAAACCAATTTACTTAACATTGGAACTTGAATTATTCTGTCTTAGAGTATACGTCAAATCTATATGCCTTCTAAGGATTAAGGACATATTTTACTTCCTGTCTCCTGCTCTTTTGATGCTACTGTGTTTTCCTAAAACAATGCCACATTTATTTGTTGTAAAGTCAGTCTCATTACTCTTTGTTCTCCTTGAACAAAAGGAAGTATAAAACTTAGTGATCCTCAAAATCACTGTAAGTGATATAAGCTCTTATTTTACGAGTATCTCAATACTGAAAAATAGAAATAACCTCAGTGCTGATTAATTGGAGAGTGATTAAATAGATCCATACTATGAAATACCATGTAGCAAAGACTAAAAATACCTCTTTAGTAATTAACATGAAAAGAGCTTCAAGAAATACTGCTTAGCAAAAAACTAAAGAATTGATTATAAACTCTTCCAGTATGTAAAAAGCAAAACATAACAGAAAAGCCATTAAATGTGATACACTCTTGTATTGAAGGCATACTAAAATGATAAGAAACCACTAATACCAAATATTAATATTTATCTCTGAGAAGAGATGTGCGGTTGGGCTGAGTGTAGTGGGGTAGGAAGGGATGAGTGAGAATGAAATGAATGCTGCATGTGTGTGTGAGGTGGGAGATGGGGCGACTTGTTTATTTAATGCTTTTAGATTGCTGCCATATTTAAGTTTTTTTTTTTTTTTTGGTCTTTTTCCTTTTTATCGGTACCGAGGATCGAACTCACGACTGCCTGCTTGCAAGGCAGGCGCTTATGCCGCTGAGCTAAATCCTCAGCCCCACCATATTTAAGTTTTTAATTTAGTATTTCCTAACACAGGTATTTATGTATTACTTGAAGTAAATAACTAAATTTACACATTTAATTACATGGTTTCTGCTGTTAGCTACTAGCTAAATCAGGTTCTCTATCACCAAAAGGTAAGAAAGGCAAAGCCACCTTTCCACTTTGACAAAACAAACAATTCTTATTCCCTTCCCCATACATACACACAACAAAATCTCATCAGGAAATAAAATTTAATAACATCTTTGGAATCCATGCAGCTCACTTGTGGGTTGACGTCTAAAATACAAGTTCGTCCAGTTTGGACAACTTCCAGGATGGAGTCAATCTTAGTTCCATAGAGATTTCCTTCATACTCCCCATGCTCCAAATACTTTCCAGCTTTAATGTCTCCTTCCATCTCTGATCGTGACACAAATTTATATGCCTGGCCATCTTTTTCATCTTCCCTTGGTTTCCGTGAAGTAACTAAATAAAATAAGGTTGAGAATTTGTACAAAGAGATTGCAGAGTATTAAAAATACACTGAAATATACAGGGTAACTATATTTTTCCTTTTAGTGTAAGGGTCACAAAATTGCACAGGAAGGCTGTGAACTGCCTCCTTGACTGGATACATATAAGTTATATAGTTACATTGAAGAAAACAAAACATCATGGTAGCCATTGCTGATTTCCTATCATTTTGTTTTGAAGCCTAATAATGCTTTTATTTTTGGTTTTGATTGATTTTAGTCTGTTTTCAATTATTTGATTTCAATATGTGTGAAGGTTAGACAGCTATTTTGAAGAAAACAAGAGACAATATAGTAGTCATTATTGATCTCCGATTGTCTGGTTTTGAAGACCTGTAATGCTCTCATTCTTTTGTTTTGATTGCTTTTGTACTATTCTGTTTTGTATTAACTTATTGTGTATGAAGGTATGGACAGCTATTTCAAAGAAAACAGACATTATGGTAGCCACTATTGATTTCGTGTTGTCCTGAAGTCCTGTGTTATTTGTGTTGTTTTACCCTGAGATCTGTTTTGTTCTTTTTTGTTTTGCTTTATTCTTTTTAAAATAAAAAAATAGTTTTATCATGCCATGGCCTTCTTCATTTTTATGCACTGTCCACTGCTTCTTTACCATTAAAATACAGAGTAGTTGTGACAGAGACTGGCTCGTAAAGCCTAAAGTATTTACTCTACGGCCCTTGAACAGAAAACATTTGCTAACCCCTGATTTAGAAGAATGTCTAAGAGGTTAATTCCCCACATAAAATCTGTCTCAAAAGTGTGCTGTTAGAAGTCTCTTGACAAAAAAAGTCCTTTTGAAACACAAAAATGTCTAGAGACAGAACCTTAAACTTTTATCTTAAAATCTTACGTACAAAGTCTATTACAAGTATCTCTGCCATCTGACCAGCTGTCTCTTTTTTCCTTAAGAAACCTATTTTTTTCTTCTTTTCTCCTTTAACATTTCTTAATTTAGTGCCCCAAAGGTGGGCAAAGTTCATTTATCTTTAGCTGGTGTCATGGTTTATGTCTGTGGCCCCCAGGCCTCATGAGTGTGCATTGTTATTTGTGATGGTTCATTGTCTATTGCTTGGATTGATGGTGTCAGTGCTCCACCCACATAGGGGTGGAGCCAGGATGTAATGTAATGGCAGGAAGAAGTTGTGTCTTGCTCTTTGCTGGTCGCCGCTTGCTGTTTGCAGCTGCCATGAACTGCGGCCCAGCCATGCCCGCCTGTCTTGGAACCAACTGAGTGTGGACTGAAACCTCCAAAAACTGTAAGAAATAAACCTTTCCTTTCCCAACTTGGGCTTCAGGTATTTTCCTGAATTTTTCAGCGACGAGGAAAAAAAACTAAGATAGTTGGTAAATATCAATTTTGTACAGTTCCATTCATAAATAATCTGTCCTTTATCTCATTTAGAGACCTAAGCTTTCTTTTGGCTTTCCTAACAGTTATATTCTACTTTACACTGGAGATAAATGAAGTTACCTACCTCATTATTATTATCTTCTGTTAGGCTCCTCTACTCTGACCAGACATACGTTCTGAATGAGAGTGAATAGTCCAAGCCAAAATTTAGAAGAGGAGGATTGTTTTGTATATTTTACAGCTTTGAATACTTAGTCTGTGCTAGAAATAAACTGCCTTTCAAACTATTGCAAAGGTGTATTCTCCGACAGCTTTGTTAACACTAGCTGTGAGGTGGAGAAGTTATGTTTTGTGTTTGCTATCTCAAGCTTGGCACTCATCTGAGCTTGACTTGATATATATAAAAAGTACTCAACTTCCAGTAAATACTTACAAAAGTAGAATGTCTGACTAAATCATTAAGTACATGAAATTAAAATTAGAAGGTAATTCAAATTAAGTTGACAAGTGTTTTGACTATCAGAAATGAACATAAGACACAAAGAAAATTTTGAAGTTCAAACTGAAGTTCAAGACAAAAATGAACTTCAACTCAACTCCCAAAGAAAGGATTAATTTATAACGTGATTATTATGTACATCAGAGCTTCTTTTTGTATCTTGTTTTCTGGCTCAATCTCAAGGTTGGTCACTCAAGAACACTGTAGAGAACATTTATAACTAACTTTAAGAATCTTCGAGATGCTATCATGGCTTTCCATTTCAAAATGATGTGATCTAGAGTTTTGGAATTATTCAACAAAGGTGGTATGATAAACCTACCTTTAAGTTCCCCAATGCTAAGGCTTGGTATAATATCTATGAACATAATTTTAGAAGACTGCTATTTCTTTGTGTAGTTCCAATGTGAAGTCATACATGAAATGTGCTGCTCTCTAAAGTAAGTAAATAAATAACTGACACATATCTGCCTAGGTGTCACTTCCTAACATAAGTAGAATTTTAATTCTTAGGAAAATGTTCTTTAGTTTACAAGTCATTTTTAACAATGCTATTCTCTACTGAATATGTCAAAAAAATCAATCTCTATACTTCTACATTCCAGAACAGAGAGATTAGAACTGACTATAACTGATTTCTTAGATTTATATGCTAAGCAACTAAATTTGATTTTATAGAAGGAAATTTTGGCATTGAAAAAATTCTAAATTTTAATAAGAAACAATGGGGAAATCATTTATTTGTTATTAATGTTAAAAAGTAAACAATTTATAACGTAGCTTATCTTCCTGAATACCAAAGTTTTTCTATTTTAGGATCATTTTATAAGCATTAAAAACTTAAACTGGCTTAATGCAGGGATATCTATACCTTTTTGACAATGTGTAGCACAATATTGTACATCAAAAATTAGGCAAGATCCAGCAGTCCTACCACTGGATACATACTCAAAGGAAATAAAATCAGTGTGTCAAAGAGACATTCGTACTCACTCCCATGTTCAATGCAGCCTTATTCACCAACCAAGTATAATAATAAATGTCCATCAATGAACCACTGAATTTTTTTAAAAATGTAGAAAACAATGAAATACTCGTGAGCCTTAAAAAAAAAAAGGCAAGTTGATGTAGGGATGGATATATGTAAGTTTTTCCACATGAAAATTAAGATTTGAATCTCCACTCAAATGTCTGTCAAAAGTAAAATGGTACATCTTTCTGGGAGTTAATTTGGCACAGGAAGTTAAGAAATGAAAACATATTACTCTTTGATCTAATACTTTTATATTTCATAATTATATATTCACATTTCATCACTATAGAAGTACAACAGCAGTGATTTCAAGTACACACTGTGTACTTGTGTGGGAATGTATGTATGGGAATATTAAGAAGCTATAAGATTAAATGTTTTAAAATTTACCATTTTAATGATTTTTTAATTTTTTAAGGAGTCACTATGTTGTTTTCCTCCCTGGAAACCCCTTTTTACATTTCTAGCAGTAATACAGAAGAATTTCAATATTTCCCCATTTTCATCAATACTCTTACAGTTTTTAAAAATACAGTAGCTATACAAATGAGTATGAAGTGGTATATCATTATGGTTTTCCTTTGAATTTCTCTAATTAATAATATTGAGCAGCTTTTTATGTGTATATTTGTTATTTTTATATCTTTTGAAGAAATGTCTATTCAAATGCTAGTGAAACATCAGAATCTATCAAACACAACAAAACAGTCCTAAGAGGAAACTCTATAATGGTGAATGCCCACATCAGAAAAAAAAGAGAGCTCAACTAACCTAACTCTGTACCTCAAGGTGCTAGAAAACCAAGAACAATCCAAATGGTACACCATGACCAAGTAGATTTTATCCCAAGGATGCAGGAATGGTTCAACATATGCAAATCAATAAATGTAATACACCACATAAACAGAAAGAAGGACAAAAATCACATAACCATCTCAGCAGATGTGGAAAAGGCATTTGATCAAATCTAACATCCATTCATGATTAAAAACCATGAAGAAAACAGTAATAGAAAGTCTTTATCTCAGTCTGACAAAAAGCCATCTATGACATATCATTGGCAAAAACACATTAAATGGAGAAAAGCAAAATATTTTCCCTCTAAAATCAGGAGCACTACTTCTGTTCAGTAGTTCTTGAAACAGTCAGAGAAATAAGGCAAGAGAAGTAGAACGAATATGGGGAGAAAAACAAAAGAGTTAGATTATCATTATTTGCAGATAATACGACCTTCTACATGGAAGATGCCAAAAACTCCACCAAAAGGACTCCTAGAATTAACAATCAAGTTCAGTATTATAACAGGATACAAAACAAACAAACAAACACCCAGTAAAAAGTGAATAGCATTTTTGTACATGAATAATAAACTCACTGAGAGAAATTAGGGGAGCAATACTTTTCACAATAGCATCAAATAAAATGAAATACTTAGGAATTCACCTGAGAAAACAAAAGACCTCTACAATGAAAATTATAGTCCTCTGAAAAAGATCAAAGAAGATACCAGAAAATGGAAAGATATTCCACTTTTGGATAGGCAGAATCAGTATTGTCAAAATGGTCTTACTTTTAAAACTAGATATACTAATTATCAAACTAGATATCAAATCAGCATTCCTTACAGAGCTAGAGAAAACCCTAGAATTCATATGAAGAGACCTAGAATAGCAAAATGTAATTCTGGACAACAAGGGCAAGGCAGGTGCCATCACAATCTCAGACTTCAAGTTACACTACAAAGTTATAGTGGTGAAAGCAATATTGTTTTGGCAAAACGAAACAAAAATGAACACAAAAACCCTGTAGATAAGTGGAACAGAAGGATGCAGAAGCAACTCCAGGCACATTTAGCTACTTTATCTTTGGCAAAGGAGCCAAACTTTTTTCTGCTTTAATATTTAGACCTTTGATTCACTTTGATTTTAGTGTAGTGCATGATGACAGACATAGGGTCTTGTCTTCAGCACCTGCAAAGAGTTTTTTCCAGTACCCTTTATTAAAGAAGCTATTTTTCTTCTAGTGAATGTGTTTGCCCTTTTTTCAAAGGTAAGGTGGCTGAATATGTTGGAGTTGTTTCTGCATCTTCTAAAGTGTTCTACCGATCCTCTGGTTCTTGTGTTTTTTTTTTTTTTTTTGTACTGGTAATCAAACTCAGGACCTCACACTTGCCAAGTTGGTGCTGGGCTGCTGAATTATATGACCCAGCCCCATACTATTTTATAGCACAGTGGCTCTGTAGTATAATTACAAGTCAAGGATTCTGATGTCCCCTGCCTTGCCTTTGTTGTCTATAATTGCTTTTGCTCTTCCAAATGAATTTTATGACTGTTTCCTCTGATTTTGTAACATGTACTATTTGAATTTTGATTAGTATTGCATTAAATCTGCATAATAAATTTGGAGCTATGGCCATTTTCATTATGTTGGTTCTTCCTACCAAACAGCATGGGCTATCTTTCCATTTTCTAGTATCTTCAATTTCTTTTTTCAGAATATGGTAGTTTTCAGTGTAGAGACCTTTTACACTAGAAGATAAAATAGGCAGAACTCTTGAAAGTATACATATAGGCAAAGACTTCATGAACAAAACCCCAGCTGCATGAGAAATACTGCAAAGAATGAATAACTGGGATCTCATCTTATTACAGCAAAAGGTACCACAAACAGAGTGAAAAGACAACACACAAAGTGAGAAAAAATTTTAGCCAGTTGTCCCTCCAAGGAATAATATCTAGAACATACAAGGAAATGAAAAAAAAAAAAAAAATCGAACCTCTCAAATTTAAAGACTCAATCCAAAAATGGGCATTTCAGATGAGTATACATTTCTCAGATGAAGAAATACAACATGGCAAATAAATATATGAAAAACTGTTCAACATTACTAGTCATTTGAAAGGTGCAAATTAAAACAACACTGAGATTCCAGAAAGAATGGCTATTACAAGAAAACAACCAATAACAAATACTGTCTGTGATACAGGGAAAAAGGAACCTTTCTCCACTGTTAATAGAAATGTAAACTGGTATAACCACTGTGGAAATCAGTGTGAGAGTCCTTAAAAAAGTAGGACTAGACCCAGGTATTCCTTTTGTTGGTACCTTCCTGAGAAAAGTAAAAGCAACATATCATAGTCATATATGCATATGTTTATAGTATCAAAGTTTATAATAGCTAAATCTTGGAAACAACCTAAATGCCCATCAACTAATGAATGGATAAAAACAGATGTGTTTTTATACAACGGAGTACTACTCAGCCATAAAGAAGAATAAACTTGAGACATTTATATTTAAATGGATGTGCCTTGAGATCATACCCTTAAGTGAAATAAATTGAACAAATGTGCAAATACTTCACTGTCTTTCTCGCATGAGAAACTGAAAGTGTAAATAAGAACCAAAATGTGTAACAGATATTGTGAAATAGGAAGAAACTGTTCAAAAGGAAAGGAGAACTGGGGGTGAAGGAAAGGGGGAAAGGAAAAAAGTGAAAAGAAAAAAATGAGAAAAGGAGGATAAAATGGAAACAAAGCTTTGTTAAAAAGGAAGGGAAGAGGGGTTCAAGTGAGGGGAGGGAAACTGAAAAAAAGGAATCAAGATATACCATGTACATCCCACGATGAATGTGATCATTATGTATATAATAAATGGTACCAATAAACTTAAGAAAAATTTAAAAAATACTTTCCCTGGAGGAAAGCCTCTTTAATAAGCACTGCTGGGAAAACTGGCTATCTGCATGCTGAAGATTGAACCTAGATACCCATACTAATTTGCACCATGCAATAAACTATAATCAAAATCTAAACATTAAAACTGAAACAGTTTGTTGGAGGACAAAATAAATAAAACACTTGAAGACACAGGTGCAGGAAAGACTTTCTAAGCAGAACTGCAGTTGCACAAGAAATAATACCAACAATCAATAAGTGGGATTTAATCAAGTTTAAAAGCTTCTGCATAGCAAAGGAAATCACCAACAGAATGAAGACAATGTACAGAATGAGGAAAATTGTTTTTTCCAGTTACTCCCCAGAGGACTAATATCTAGATTATATAATGAACTAAAAATATTAGACCCACCCAACTTAGACTCAATCATAAATGGACATCTGAAGTGAATACACACTTCTCAGAAGAAGTACAAATGGCCAGTACATACATGAAGAAAGGCTTAACATTGTTGGTCATTAGAGAAATGCAAATTAAAATAACAATGAGGCTCCATCTCAACCCAGAAAGAATGGCTATCTTCACAAAATCAGATAATAGCCAGGCTATGTGAGTTGGGGATGGAGACCCTTCTTCATTGTTGGTAGGAATGTAATAGTGCAAACACTATGGAAATCAGCATGGAGAGTCCATTTGACCCAGCAATTCCATCTAGGTATCTTCCCAAGAGAGGTAATGAATCACATTACAGTGAAACACACATATCCATGTTTATAGCAGAACAATTTTTAACAGCTAAATCTTGGAACCATCCTATCAATAGATGAACGGATTAACAAAATACACAAGGGAGTATAACTCTACCATTAAGAATAAACTTCAATTGTCTGAAAATTCATGTACTTTGAGACCATAATATTAAGTGAAGTAAATCAGACACATAAGCTTTAAATATTGCATGATTTCTGTCATATGAGAAACCCAAAACATAAACAAAGGACAAAATAAGAGATAATAGGAAGTAGAGCCAAATAAGAGATAACAGAAGTTAAAGATCTTGCTCAAATGGGAATGGGATCAAAAGATGGAAAGCGAGAAGGGGAAAGGGATGAGAAAAGAATTAAGATGTGTTTTGCACATGTACCAATCCCCATGAGGAATGGAATCATGTATGCTGAAAACATGTACAGTAGTAATTTTTTAAAAATCTATTCAAAATACTTTGTCTATTTTTGAATTGGGCTTTTGGTGATTGTTGCTGAGTTGTAAAACTATTTACACGGGTTTTTTAATGACTTGTGAGAAAAGCTCATGAGGTTCATTAATTCATTTCTCTTCAAACATTTAAGGGTTAAATACTATATCCTGTTCTAAGTATATACAGAAGTGCAAAGAAACAGATTCCTTTATCATAGAGACAAGTGAGCAGTCAAGTAACATATATGAACGTTAAGTATTATAAACAACCACTAAGCACTTTGATCAGTGAAGGCCTCTGAGAAGGTATCACTTGAACAAAACGTAAAATTCAAACACGTGCAAATCAGGATGTTTGAGGTAGAGGATCAAACAAGAGCAAAAAGGTATGAATGTTGTCTGAAGAAGAAATTAGTGTTAAATAGGAAGAAGTATGCAAATTTGATCTGAACAATGCAATTTTAATTCTGTAATTACAAATTCTAACACTAGAAGTTTTTAATGTTTTCTTTATGCATATAAACAACATTGAATGGGACTTTAACTGTAGTCTAAAACATTGGTCCATTTACCAGTAGGCTCTAGAATGACATCTTCCAGAGTTTATTAAAAAAGTAGACAATCTGATCCTGGAGTCATATAACCACCTCTATATATTCAAAAAGGAGTCACTGAGGTAACGAGTCATAAACTGAGAGGGAATATATTGTTTTTTTCTTATCCTTCCCTCATAGTAAAATTATTCTCCCAGGAGAGTTCTGAAGTCCCATGATGACATGTCATAGGCATTTAGGTAGCTTGTACACTTGTGACTTGGCAAAGCAAGAAAGACCCTCTTCTACATTAATGTGTTATATGTGCAAACATCCAAAATACAGCCTAGTTGGACTGCTCTGAGGTACCCTAAACCGAAAGTACAAGAAAAAGTAGTCTGCTTTTAGTGTCTACTAGTTACACCTTTGCAAGTTCAACCAACTATGCTTCGAAAATGGTCAGAAAAAGAACGAATAAATATTTAAAAAAAACCCTAAAACTAAATTGTATTTGTACTGGATAGGTACAGACTTTTTCTTGCCCTTAGTGTGACAACTGTTCATGCAGTACTCATGTTTAGGTATTATAAGTAACCAAGATAATTTAAAATATATGAGTGGATATGCACAGGTTATATGAAAATACTGCATCATTTTATATAAAGAGACGTGATATACCTAAATGAATACTATGTTAAATGGGGGTTGGTCAGCAATAGTAGCACAGAAAAGGCAGTATTAGTTTGCCTCTGTTTTGATCAATGTAAAGAGCAAAGGATCCCACATTTCGAAAACACAGAAATGTAAACGAGTCATTACAATGTCAATGATATCCTCCAACTCTCAATCTAATCAATTCTCATCAAGTATACTTCTGACATTGTTATTCAACTTTTTACGTAAATACACAAAAATAGGGGGAAATGCAAAGATCACATAATGAGTGTTTAATTCACTTATTGGTTGTACTTATTAGTAATATTTTATTTATCAATCTCTGTGACTTTAAAGTTGTCTACTGTAGTTGATGTATTGTTCTTGTGCTATCAAAACTCAGGCTTATCATCTTGCAGGATCACAGATACAAGCCATACCATAAAAATTCACAAGGGTACTGTGAGTGGGTCTGAGGATTTGCTAGATTTTCTTCTTTTCTTTATACAATGGGCAAAAAATAAAACCTTTCCAATAGGTATCAATTATACTAGCAAACAGTAAATTCATGAAGTTTTTACACAACTTGTAAATACTTGCATTTGACTAATACTTCTGGACCGAATAGTTGAAGAGACAATGCCAACAGGCATCTGAGGTAACAGAACTCTAGTAATATTTCATGACAGCTAGAGAATTATTGGCTTTTTTGATACTGTCTACTTAATTCATTTTCACTCACATAATCAAAATTTATCTGGAAAAGCAATAAATACACTTGCCCAATAAGTATATTCTTTTTCCATCAATAAATAGCAAAGAAAACACAAAAGACTTACATGGCACGGTAGTTCCAAATCTAGTGGGATTCAGTACTATGAATCTGTTTTTCAAACTTCTTCGGCCTACTCCTTGTGCTCCTATCAATACTAATGTTTTTCTCTGAAAGGGGGGCATTTTGGCTACCTCCTCATATATCTGGATTTCATGACGATCAAATTCTAAACATGAAAGAAAGTGGGAAAACATTATATTCAATAATGTTTTATATACATTATAATGTTTTATATACACAATGGTTTATATACCCTCTGCTATTCTGTCCAACAAAAGTTTAGCTGTCTTGAGAAGAGTCACTTGTCTTGTGCTCTTTTATCACAAATCTGTTTTCACAAATTTGGTAATTTATAATACATTATTTTATACCTTGATTTAAATATCTATTCTCATGTATTTGTCCTTAAATTTTTATCTAAAAAAGTAGGGAAAACTCCTATGTTTAATCCTATCAATTCTAACTACTAATCCCTTTTTATTATCAATTTATTAGTATAAAGGATCACTCAAGTAGAAATAATCAAATTAAGGAGCATTACATGTAATTTACACTAAAAAGTACACATCAGGCAAGGATGGAGGACAGGAATAGGTATAGCGCAACTGTTTAAGATGCATAGAATAAGAATGTGTTTTCAGTGACATAAATAAATACTGTATAAAATCCATGCAGATAATGAACATTCAAATATTAAGATCTTGAAATTTATGCACAAAATAAAATGCTGGATCCAAATTATTTTCAATAAAAACAAATTCTAAAATATAAATGGGAAAATTACAAATTTTCTATCTTTGAAAAGTTTTAGGGGCATATTTTTAATGAATAGTAAGACAAGTGAGTTAAAAATATTACCTATCATTATGGTTAGAACTTGCAATCTGAGGTAACACTCCTTTAAGTTACTATCTCAGCAATTCTTTCTCTGCACAGTTTCTTTATGGATTAAACCATTATCATGTGAGGAAAGGCCTGTGCCTCCTGCCTATATTGTTTATGTTAGCTTCTTTAGTTTATTACCAGTATAGACATAGCTATTAAGTCTACCAGTATAGACACAGCTCTTAAGAACATATTTTATAAAGGTCTCATATTTATCTTTTTTTTTGTTTAAACAGGGAAAGTGTACCCAATTCAAGTGTACCCAATTCAAGTAACAGTAATGTAAAAAAACTTTTTCATCTTATTGAGGTATAACTGACAAGTATAAATTATATATATTCAAAGTATATAACGATGTATTGATATATGTATACACTGAAAATGATCCTATAATCCATCACCTACACAGTTATTTCTTTTTAGAAATCAAGACTAAAAGATTTAAGAAATCCTAGATTACACAAAATCTGCCTACACAGTTATCATTTCTTTGTAAAAATAAAGACTAGAAGATTTAAAATCCTTTTAGATTACACAAATTCTGGTCCAAAAGTCTCAGGGACTTTTGGGAAAACAGAATGTCAAAGCAGGATACACTTGTCTTTAATCCTAGTTCTTTTAGTATCTTCATAAAGCCATTCTGCCCTTTGTGAAATGGTCATTAATTACTATTTTCAAAATTCTCTACATAGCTTCAATATTTATGAGATTGCTCTTGTATTGAGAAGTATAGGTCCTAACCAATTCATTTTGTTATAAAATATACTCACAAAATAAAACATACTGTTAGTACATATAATATCAAGATTTAAATAATTTCCTTATTGTTCACATGCCATATCCTTACAATTAGATATTAATTTGATTTACACATTTTACATTATTTAGAGCTCATACCTATTAATTAACAGCATAAACTTCTTAGATTTTTTCAAAAAAGTATTTAGAACTTACCTGCATTTCTGGTTGTGAGATACATCATCTTTTTCTTTTTTTTGCTACTTATAGTTCCACAGAAAGGACCTTAAGAATGACAAGACCAATGTCACTTAATATAAAACTACCTTGTCATATTCTATGGTAAGAGAAAATAATTTTCCCAGTATCTCATTTCCATTGAATATTGTTAATCTACCAGTAGGTGGCGTAAAGGGATTAAAAAATACTACTTTTAAGAGATGAGAAGGATTAATTCTGGATATACTTTAAATAAATTTGCTTGCTTACTGAGGCAAAAAGATAAGCACAAAGGTCTGCTTATTACTAGTATGGAGCGCATCACCTGAATTGTCCCAGTCTCTTCTAACAAATGCTTTTCTCTTCTCTTCCAGGAACTGGCTTGGAATGAGACCAGCACTTCCTCCCTCTTTCACATGGCTAGCCTAGAAAGAAATCAATGTATTTTATATCTCAGTGATCAAAATTCTAAATAATTTTCTAGTTCTAGTAAGGCAGGAAGTGGCTAGAAAAAAATAGTCACACTTGCTCTTAAAACAACTGTTAGGTTTAAGTCCACAGTATTATTGGTTAAGATATTTAAACACTTTAGGATTGAAGACTTGATTTAAAATTCTTTGTATTGCATATGGCCATCTGGTAGACTTTGGAGACCGAAACAGGAAGGTACATACAGTTCCTTAAAATACTAAAGCTGCTTATTTATAAGACTTAGTCCAAGAAAGAAATAAATGCTATTATATAGTATGATGTGTTAAAGAGGAAATTCCAACTAGCATTTTTTATTGATATTTATTAACAACCTTAATCACTTGTGTTAGTATTTCTTGAGACAAAAATCAATACGAAGGAGACAATATTGGGAAAATAGAGAGTAGATTTTAATTTACACTAATAAGAACCTGAGTATCTTGAGGTAGGAAAATTCCAGTTTGAGAACTGGCTGCTAGTGACTTATTTCAAAATTAGTGACTTTTCCTTATTACTGGCATAGAAAATCTGGTATCATTTTTAGCAACAATAAGAAAGTAATAGATCAGTAAACTAGAAGAAGAGACTGAGATAAGTGACAGGATTAGAAATGAAAACTAAGAGATGTCCATTCATAGAAATAAAGAGGAAAAATTCAATAAAGAAACAGTCTCAGAAAGCAGATTTTTAAATGAGGGTTCTAAGAAATTTAGTGGATGCCTTTCAAAATCATGATTCTGTTTAACTTGCCCATTTCGTAAGTTTTTCACCACATGGTATACTTTATAATAATTTAATTTTCAGACACACTAGTAAGACTGTTATTCTGTGAACCATTTCCCCTTAGAAGTCAATATAATGTATTAGAGCTAGGATTGAGTTTCCAGTAGTATCACAGTTAATTTTAGAGTTTAGTGTTACATTATCCTTGTCCTTTCCTCTTATATCTTGTTCTTTAAAGAGACCGTCCTTTGCTCTGAGTTTAAAAGATTTCTAACTTGTCAGTTTCTCCAATTCTCAATACTGTGGTTTAGCTTATGTAAAAATTACCAAAATAGACTTACTAGTGCTTGTAGGGACTTCTAAAAACAGTATTAGGGAAAGGAAAAAAAAACTTCATAGATTTCTGGAAAATGGTGTGGGGAAAAATAAAATGATGACATGTATCTATATTTATACACAAGTTAAAATCCAAATCAAAACAAAACTGATGGGCCAAACATTCTTTTCTCAATAGATCAGAGGAGGTGGGCAAATAGATTTATGAACCTAAGAAATTATGCTTTAAATTTGTCACGAACATATACAGATAGAGAAAAGACAAGAGTTTTAATTAAACCAAAACCAAATATTCATAAGGGATGACCCCCAGTAAGTTCTTCTTGCACAAGAGCATAAGTTAATATAGTCACTCATGTGAAAAAAATCAAGTTAGCCAAATCCCTAAACCAACAGGACGGTACCACAGGTAGGTTAATTCTGCGATTATTAATAGCTACTCACAAATCCCTCTCAATTTGGCCTTCAGTCCACAAAATTAGTAGCCATGAAGCAGGAGCTGTTCATGATGGAAAAATCATTGAACAAGTGCTAATACCTTCTTCCTGAATATTCACATACTGGCCAAAATTAAGATTAAAATAGAAAAGCATTAAGGAACTTTTGAAAAGCACACTAACCTGCCACCAATTTGGGTCTTCTCTGTTTACAATCTGAAGAATTTCTCCTTTGGAAAACTTCAGTCCTGCTTCTTTGCACGGAATCAGGTTATCATTGTATGGATTATAATCAAAATGACACTTCACGAATACCTAAAACACACAGTACAATGAAAAATATTACAGATGTACCATTCTGCCACTGGATCTTTGAAATCCTTTACAAACTACTATGATTTAATTGTAACTGATTAAGTGTTTACTATTTTTGTTAAGTAACTTTTCTTATAAAACTCGTTATTAAAAGATTTAATAAAATAACTGGTATCAGAATTAATAAAATAACTGGTATCAGAACAAAAAGAAATACTAGATTAAAGTATTTATATTTTAACTTTAAGTCAACAGCTTGACAATCATTCTATTTCACTATTTTTCCACTTGACTGTCTAACTACCACCATATAACTATTAATGTAAGTAAATGTTACTTTCCAATTAACATGAAGTAATATATTCAGCTGATTTAAAGTATACATTTCAAATATTGTAGGATTCATTTTGTTAAGGTGCTCTGAAACCAAAATTAACACAAGTGCTGTTGAAGTCAGATATTAAATATATTTAGAAACCTTAAAAATTTTTAAAAACTCAACTTTTCTTTCTTTTTTTTGGTTTGGCAACAGGGTCTTGCTATGTAGTTCATGTTGGCCTCAAACTCATGGTGATCCTTCTGCCTCAGCCTCCTAAGCACTGGGATTTTCAGATGTGTGCCATCAAACCTAGCTAAAAATTCAACTTTAATCTTTTGCAAGCTTTTAAAGGCAGATATACATTGGCCAAAAATAAGAAAATGGTTTTTGGAAATTATTTTACTCTGATTTACACAATTAAATTTAAATGATCAGTACTACATATGAGACAAATATTTAAAGTCTTTAATTTTCCCAATTTAAACTCATTTAAATGTGTACATTTCTTTTATATTTGCTTCATTAATAAAGATTAGTTACTGCTCTTGACTAAAGTTTCTAATTTTATTAACTTCTATTTGAATCCTAATTAAACATATTGCATAAACACTTTGAGGCTTGATGGTAAGTTCAGATCAACTATTTTCTTAAAATATGCTTGTTTCATACATATTTATAGAAATTCAAATTTTATATTCTAAATAGCCTCAGTATTAATCAGCTTATTGATAAACCTTAAGAAGCAGGAAAGCACACAGTTTGTCAAAAATATTTGTGTTATTTTTCAATTTATCATACTTCTAAACTATGACTGAACAAGAAATTCGAATAGAACAAGCAGACATTAGTGTAGTAAAAACTAACAGGACTGATGTATACTAAAATAATTACAAGTAAGTTTCAGGTTATGATAAAATTTACTTATTTACAATTAGATAATTTTGATCAAAAGCATTAACATTTTCAATAATTTTGAAAATGCTAAAAATCAATGCTTAAAACATTGTCAGCAGGACAATAATTTTTTTCCTGATATACAATTTTATAAGTATCTAAAAGCAAGCATTGAAAAAGACTATTTGGGTGGCTAAAACGTGACAGCTGGCTAACTTGACAATGGCATGCTGTTCAATGTTTTGGCAATGAGAAAAAAAACCCCAAATTTAACCAATGTAAATTTAATGGACTAATAAGAAAAACAATACCAGAGAATATTCTGGAATAACATTATACCTGACACATGTGTGCTGGAAGCCTCTCCATATTAATGCAACTCTAAAAATATATTTTCAATTGCATAAATAAAACCAGACTTCCAATTTATATACACGAAGTTAAAATATAAATAAACTACTGGTCTATTTTATCACTTCACTCATTTGTTAAAGAAACTATCTCCCTAATCACTTGCCCACAGGTTCTATATAACTGTGAACTGCAAATTATAAAAGCAAAGGAGGCATCTGCAATGAAGCATAGAAAAGGTTTTACTATACAAAGTTACCGTGGAAAACAAAAAGCAAAAAATACAACTCCACATTCCTGATGTCTCAAGAAAGGTGCAATGAATGAAGAATTATATTTTGTCACTTAGCATAAACTTCTTTACTATTCTTATGTTTGGGACAAAATATACTTTGTAACTATAAAGTTACAAATTTGGTATAAATTTCAAATATCCTTTCCACACTTCCCCCAAATTATTCTAGAAACGTATTTTTTATGGAATACAAACTACACCTCTCAAATAAAAAAGATTTCTAGAAGCTCTTTTTTCACTTAGCATACTAATTTTGGAACACTACACTTATGCTAAAAAACTCAGATTAGTATGTCTTACTTTTATAAAATTTGCCTGAAAAATCAATTAACTCAACCACTGATCTAACTATTCTGTAATGACTTTAAAATTATTAAAGAGTTGATGAAACAGCACAATTACATTTTATTAAATATATCTGAAAATGTTTCACTTCTAGAGTATCAACACTGTTTATTCATTAAAGTTGCTGAACATCTCTTAATTTCTAAATTTCTCTAATTTCTAATTTCTCTAATTACTAAAAGAATTGCATGACCAACAAAGTAGACAGAAACAGAAAAAGGAAGGTACAAACAGCTTTTAAACAGAGATTTTTTTTAATGTGATTCATAGAAGGAATAAAAATTAGAACTACAATGCATTATGATAACATTTTTTCCTATCTGATTAACATAAATTCAAACATCTGATACATTCTGTAGATACAACTATGGGTTAGGCATTTTTCTAAAAAAAACTTGTGAAAGAATGAATTAATCCCATGGGAGGACAATTTGGTAACAGCTATCAAGATTACAACTGCATAAACCCTCTGACCTAATCAACTTGTGGGAAGGATTTAAAAGTTGTGTGACTCAGATACAAGCAAAATAACTTGTGTAAAAGACTACTAGGTACTGAATTATTCCTAACAGCCAAAGAATAAAAAGAACCTAACCTTAACAACTGGGAATTGGTTAAACATCTGATGATAATATAACACTACATTGCTGCTAACAAGTGCGTGCATGTGTGTGTGTGTGTGTGTGAAAGAGAGAGAGACAGACAGAGACAGAAGAGGCAATCTAGGTAGCAGTAGGAAAAATCTTTAAGATACATTGTTAAGTTAAAAAGAGTAAGGTTCAAAATACCATGAAAATTTTTTACAAAAAAAAATGGCAGAAGGGGTAGGACAGAATATGATCTTTATTTATTTGCATATAAATAAATTCTGGAATGATAAACAAATAGCGTAATTTTTTACTGGGGTAGTCGGGATAGGTTGGTAGTGGAAAAGGATTGCGGGAGACAACTGAATACATATTTATTTTTTAAGTGTCTGAACCATGGGAATATCTCACTTATTCAAAAATTAATAGAACAAGGGTCATCTAAACTGAGACCATAAAAACATAAAATAGTGTTTCTCAAGATGCTGAAAACCAGGCAAGGAAGATGAGGATCTTTAAAAGATGGAAACAAAATAAACTGTGAACTGCTGCAGCTAAATCTTGTTGGAGTCTGACAGTACCTTCTAGTTGAGGAGATAGCTGGGAGTTCAGGGAGAGCAAGGTACTAACAATATAGGGAGCATATTATCAATGAGAAAAGTCACAGAGGAGGACTAGAGAACCACCATGACTTCTGATCTTCAACTAAGTGTGATGAGTGCATGTGCATCGAGAAGCTACCCAGTGGCTGTCTCCTCACTGGTGGGAAAGAATCACTTGAAGGCATTACAGAGAACACTATTAGGTCATCACAGGGTCAAGAATACCTTTTGTTCTCATCAGGCTGACTGAAAAAAAAAACTCAATTCATGACAGGAGGTATATATCTTAGAACTCCCTCTGTGGTAGCTCTATCAAAACAGAACAAGCAAGAAGTCAAAGAATCAATTGACTCCCAAATAACATAACTGCACCCTAGGGAAAAATCTTAAGATTATTTCTAATACAAAAATATTTAATATCCAACAAGTTAAAATTTATGGTGCCTGGCAATCAATAAAAATGAATAAGCATGAAACTATAACTCAGAACAAGAGAAAGAAGTCAATTTAGAGTAATTATGGAATGACAACTACGAAGAACCAGCAGACAATGCCAGCAAAGAGTTATTTTAACTTTACATACTGTACTCATATGTTCAAGAAACTAGCAATGGTAGTGAACCCATGGCACATGTGCTGCAGTGGGATGTTTGTGTCACTGAAAGTTCTAGAAGGTTTGCCATCACTGAACTAAGGTAGGGATTGTGTATAAACCCACAGGGGCTATAACTAAGACTCAATGAGATGAAATAAAATTAAGACATGAGTAACAGAAGACTAAAAGAAAGATTCATCAACCTGAAGACATTATAATAGATGGTGAACAAAGTGATCATAGATGTAAGATGTTCTCCAGTAATACTTCAGGTGATGAGGAAGTTCTTTTTTTTGAAAAGTTTCAGTGTATGAACTTGGTCTACTTGGTTAAACACATACACTCTTTGAGATCTATGAAATGAGACTAGAAAGTATATTTTGTTATAAAAATCTTTCAGGGACAATTTATGTTCCTATTTGGTAAATATTCATGTGGCAGTCACAAATTTAGTTTCAGCTGGTGAAATAAAAAAACTTTTTTAAAAGGAATATACTAACCTAAGCTAGTCAAAGTTACACTAATAATTCTTAAATTTGTTATCACACTCGAGTCATTCATCCAAAGGCTATCGTTATTTAGTTTTAATAATAAACAATAATGAACTTCCCACCTAAATAAAGGCTAGAAATCTGTGCGGCTCTCCTGTCCTTATTTAATTCTATGATCATTGCTTCCTCACTTGAGGTACCTGGACACTGAACCTTGCATTCATGAACCCCTTGCTTTTCCCTCTACATAGAGGCTTAAATGCATCTACTGCACTCCTTAAAAATATGTACTTAAATATAAAAAAACAGTTTGCTACAACAGGCAATCTTTTGGGATTGACATGGTTGTTAACATGCTTCCAGATATATATATCACTCTACAAATGACTGTCTTTGATACACTTGAATATTCAACTCAGTTGAATACAATTGTACTAATTTTCACTGCCATCAGCAATGCAGACGATATACAGTACACTTGCACCTACAGCCAAGTGATAGGTAAAAACAGCATCATACAT